GGGATTTTAAACATTCTACTTCTTTCAACTTGATTTGATTTTGTTTATAATGTCAAGGAATTTCTGAGTTATTTCCACTCATTTGCTTCCCAAGTGAGGATCCTGTTGATTCTTAGTTAGGATTCCATGCAGTCATTATGGTCAACATTCAGCAGTAGTACTGCAGGGAACTTTCCAAACTCTCCCCACTGATTTATACTGATGTTAGGGAGACATGGGAGGATACTCAGCCCTGCTTAGAATATAGCTTAAGAGTACATTTGTACAAAATACAAATCAGTTAGACACACAGAGGATAACTTCATCCAATCATTTTATTTAAGTTCAGATACTCACAGAAGACATGTTTTTTGCACACAAGACATTTTATTGAATAGTTCTGGTCTCCATCTATCCATTCAACCTGCTGCAGGGACTAGTTAAGATAGAATATGAGGAACTTGGTTGTGGTTCTGGTGCTGCCACCTGGTGGGGATTGAGGACCATGCCCTAGTTGGTTACTATTCAGTAGTTAGCTAGGGTTGTGCTTGACAGTGTTTGTGATGCCAAGCTGCACTCAGAACTCATATACTTTCTGGCTGCATTATTTACTGGATTGATTATTCTCCAGTTTCTCTCTGGCACCAGTATGACTCGGCTAGTTCAAACTGTCGACCTGCACTGACTGCCTCAGATCCTAATGGGTGGGGTTAATATGATCTTGCCTTAGGAAGCAAACAAGTGTACTGTTCAAAAGGTGCTTTTCATATACACCCTAGGCTTGATTTTCTGAGAGGGACTCCTCAATAGTTCCCCGAGTATCTTCAAGCCATAGCTCAACAGTCCAGGCCTTCGAGACCAATCTGTCACCTACCAAAAGCCAGGTTCTGGATTTTGCTCTCACTCTATGAATGTGAAGGGAGCTTCAGGCTCAAAGGTTGACCCAAAAGTGAGGAAAAACTCATCAGAAAGCACAGGCACAACAAACCAAGTGACTGCCAGAAGGAAAGTTGGCACTGAAATGTAAATAAGGCAATTGATCTTTAGCTTCTGGAACTCCAACAGGGTGTTGACCTCTTGTTACTTATTGGACGTACCTCGACTTCACTGCCCTTATGTTGTGCTTTGGCATTTGGTGCATCACTGATGTTTTTCTGCCCAGGGTACTCAGTTCTTCCACTCGAAAGTCCACTACTCATTTTCTGCTTCTAATCATATTTCCTTTCCAGAAAAGCCTGCCGTCTTTACAAAGACATTGTTGGGAGAAAGGTAGGGATGCTATTGAAGGGCCCATCCCAGCCATCAAGCATTAAATGTAATGAAATTCCCTTTTCTGGGGGCTCCCAGTGTCTCCAGTTTCCAACCCTGTTTCCTTCATTCTAATTGGGTTAGAGGGAATTTGACACTGTCACCTTCCATGGGCAGATGGCTGGGACTCTTCGGGGATCTGAGCTGCCATCTAGTGGCAGTTGGGCATATCACAGGGTATTTCCCTATAATCATTTGCCTTTTTTACTTCATGGTTTCTACTTTCTTACAGGCAGTAGCTTATTTTAATATTATTTTGCTTTCTGGTGAGTTTTCTCAGTTTTAGGTCGATCTCTGTTCCCTAAGCTCCCTCACCTTATAGCCAGATTCTGGCCTTGGCTTCTTGTAGGTGACAGATGAATCTCAGAGCCCCAGTGCCTTGGGCTTAAGCTTGGTAGTACCAGAGTTAAGCTTCAGGTGCTATTAGTGGGTCCACCAGATTTTCCGTGCCGATGTGTGCTTTGCCCCAAGTTATCCTAATTAATTTTGCACAGATTGCTTATCCTTCAAGAGACATCTGTGGAGATACCTTTCGAGGCTGACTTAATATTATTTTTCTGCCTTTCTGCTGGTTAAGCATGATGGAATAAGCAACTTTTAACTGTGTTATATCAAAATCCTCAGTTAGTGGCTGCTTGTGTGGCAAAACTATCTTTTATCAGCAGTTAACAATCAGAAAAAAGAAAAATACAGTACAGTTTAAGAATTTTTTTCTGTCAAAAGTCAAATAAGGAACCTATTCTATTATTATTATTATTACTGTATAAATACAAGCTGTACTATTATTATTATTATAAAACAATTATATTTTTTTGCATTAATTTTTTATATAAGTAGTTGATAGTATCTATGATTATTATTATTTTATTTCAATATTTCTAGGTTTCAATTTTCTTTTAAGCAATGGCAGACAGGCTGTTTTGTATTAATTACAATGAAAGTATTGTTTAGCAATAAAAATCACAATGTAGGCAATGCTGTAGTTGGCATAAATTAATACCTAGTGGTTTAGTACTACCTGCATGCTTTCTTGGTTTCAACTCCTGCTTGTCAGAGAGATTTTATTATTATTATTATTATTATTTTCTACCACAGACGTGGCCACACATTTACAATGCTAACCAGCATATATACATTTTATTCTGTCCTCCATGGACATGGTTAGAGATGTGTAGTCGTTAGTAGCCATTATATTTTATGAATGTGAGAAAGCGCGTGCGTAATAAATGCCAATTATTACTGTACGTATTTAAGTGCGTTGCAAGACACAAGGGATCCTGTAGTACAGTGGTCTTCAGTCTTGACTCAACAACTGAGGATCCTGAGGTCATTACTCAGGCGGAGCAGAAATGTTTGGTCATGTTTCTTTTCATCTGATGCTTCTGTTCACGCAGCAGTAAATAGGTGTCTGGGAGCTAAGTGACTGTGATGATATATGTTCAGGCTTCCTGTCCCTGACAATGGTAATTCATGTATGTACTATGACATGAAAACAATAACAGTCTTTGGAGATGAGTTAATGTATAAATTATATAAAGCTGCTACAGTTTTTAAGCTGTACTTGCCTGCCCTCTTGCCAACAAATATAAATTTACATGATTTTTTTATACCTATAATTACAAAATGGCAACAAGTTAATATATAATGAAATTGTCATTAGGTGTCCTTTTGTTTCAAATTTGTTATTCAGTATGTGCATATAATTGTGCTGATTAAGTTTACTTCATTTGACAATATCAAAAAGATTGTTCATAATTTTTTATATTATTATTCAGCTCAGTGGATCAGTTTAATTTCTTCATTATAATTCTTTATAATAATAATGTTTAATTTAGTTATGGTAAATTTGGACACATACTTACTTTCAAATTATTTATCTAAACTTAAGCATTACTTTGAACTTTTGGTTTAAACTCAGGAGCCATTACTTCCTACATTTGATGTCGACTACAGCATTACCTTCAACATTTTGCTTGCACGGTATCTGAATTGTCGTGGTTCTATTCCCAAGCAGAATGAGACATTTGAGAATCTTTCTTGCACTTGATGCCTGTGCAGGTAACAAAACAAGCAATGAAAGTGTTAATATTTGTGTCTGCCTGTTTAGGTCTTCCTACAATAACCTACATTCATCTTCAGTCTCTACCCTTTTTCATTGGCTTTCCATATTCTATATTGTCATAAATGATCCTATCTTGCCTAGATTTCTAAATGCTGTACTTATTTTCATTAATTTTCCATATGCTGCAGATGTTAATGTGTATGTGTATTTCCTTGGGTTATTAATAGGGTAGGTTAATTTCACAAATTTCCTCTGGTTAGGGCAGGTGTCTGGGGTTCACCAGAATGTGGGTTCAAGTTACTCCGTTGCCTCAAAATGATTTTCATTTCCTCTGGTGTTAATGCTTTTATGATGATCACTCCAAGGCTCTCTTTCTATTTTTTTCTGCAACTGCATCCTCAATTTTTTGTACTGTCCTTCTGGCCTCCTTTCTCCACATGCAAACTTCATTACCTTGCACGTAATAGCACTGAATTCTACTAGTTATACATCTGTCTAAACCTATAAGTTTCTATGGTTGTTCTGTAGAATTCACACTCTTCTTCAGTCCTTACACATTTCAGCAGTTTTCCCATTATCTACAAACATTAAAAAGCTGCATCTTGCTTCATCCAACAGGTCAATTATTGCATTTAAATCACATACAGCTGGGGCCCAAGAGCTGGGTCTTGTAAGACTCTGCTTACCACTTCCCCTCCATGGAAATATTTCCCCTCTCACTATGAGATTACTGTAAATATAAGCAAAGTATTAGGGTTTAGGGTGATGGGTAGATGGCCAGCATCGCGAGAAGGGAGAGTAGAGGAATACGTAGACGGAAGGTTCCACAAGAGCACAAGGGAAAGAGTAATTTTAAATAGGGCTGCGTGGAAGCATGAGAGTTAGGGATGGATAAAGATACGAGGTGATAGCTTGTAGTGAACAGTTGCATGAGTTTTAACAGTTTGCAGTTAAATTCCCAAATACAAATTTAACCAGTTATGAAGTTTTTTTTAACATTCTGTCTAATTTAAGTGCAATATTGTTATACGGTTTCTGGTTTAATTTATGACCAATTATCTGCTTAAATATTGGTAAATGGTTGGGGTATATAGGCATGTTGACTATTCGATCATTTTGCAGCTACCCTCATGCTTAAATTGCTTAAATTTAGGCTGAGTTTAAGCCAAGGAGGGAATGTTTACTATTAATCTAATTAGTTCATTAATTGACAGTATATTTTCAGAATAAGAGGTGTGTGTGTGGGTGTGTTTATTTTGTATGTATACAGGAGTATATATACACTGTATTCACTATACTGTATTTTTAATGGCTGTGTAGTTTCTTATGGAAGCCCTCCAAAGCCCTCCAAGTGCACACAATCTGCATTTAGGGTGACTGTAAACTGTGTTGTACAGTTGCATCCTTCTATTGCCAGTTGTAGTGACTTCTTATTTTGCTCCTTTTATATGAGCTTTTCACTTGGGTACAATTACACTTTGATGTGTTTTATTGCACACTGGTAATGTAGATGTAAACCAAAATGCATGGGTGTTGTATTTTTGCAAGCAGTTGGGATTTGTGTGTTTGGGGCTTGCATTGCACCCTGGGGTATCACTGTGGCATGCTGTAGCAATCCTTCTAATGAAGCCCTCTTGTCCGTGACCGGCAGTATTCCTTTCAGGTCATCGGGGCCGGTTTCCTTTGGCTTCAGCTCGCTAGATCCTAATAAATCTATAACTTCTCCGGTGGACATGAGCGGGTCGGCGAATGGCACCGTACAAATCACATCCCTCAGAAATGAATTGCAGGTAAATAAATCGTTGTTGCATTCAATTCATTTGTGATCACATTGGATTTATATTAGGCTCTAGGGTTGAGCATGATGAGAACATGACCTCATCATGGGTGGTGATGAATAGCTTGTATAATATTCATGTAACTGTGAATAGCTTTGTCATATGAGAATCTCGGAGTAAAATACCTTATTCATATTAGTTTGGAGAGTGCCAATTGTATATGAAAGGAATTGTCATAAATATGTTAATTATTGTTATCACACAGCATTTTGTGATAGTTGTAGGACTGTTTTTTCTTGAATTGAAGAGACCTTTGTTAAAAAAAATGGTAATTATTTATTCTAATGTAATTACAAAATTCAGTATCTTTTCAAGTATATTGAAGAAAGAGAGTTTGCTGGTTTTAATGATTTATATTTCTTCAAGTTTGTGCTGTATAGGTATTATACTGTATTTAGTATTCAAATTTAATTTAGTTATATCATTGCAGTACTTAAATTAACATTTGTGATGTTTATCACATACCCCATAGTAAACATTTTTTTCATCTACAGTAATAGTAAACACAGATGAAGCTGTGCGTCAAACCCGCAAATTGTAGAATGAAATATGTTTGCCTGCGCAGGTCACTATAATGGTTGTACTTTTCAGGAGGCACAAGTTGGTCCCGACACACCAGTCGTACACACAGACAAAGGTCAGCTGACGGACACAATTGAACAGGCTGATCGGGAGACGGCCACAAGTATGAGCAATGCAGGCAACCCTGGTTATCTTGCCCAGCTCACACCTACACTAGCTTAAACCCATACGCTTTGCAAAAAAAAAAAAAAAAGAAAAGAAACTAATCAATTTATATATACAGTATATATTTTTTTGATAGCTTTATCTAGTGAGAAATGGCTTTTCAGTAGATATCTTTTTGCCTGTGCTCAAAGTATGCCAAAAGAAATCTCAATAGTGATAATGTAGCAAAAAAACCTCGTAGGTGTTGGCAAGAGCAAGCATTGGGGGTTACGTACTTACTGGATGTATTTTTGGATTTTTAAAATGAAACTTTTATTTTCAAGTCATTGCCATATGATACAATTTATTTTTAATGCACTTCTTTTTTCCCCTGTATTTAAAAAGAGTTTAATTGCACATGTGCTTGTTGTTTAGTTCCCTTATTTTGCTTGTATTTTAATATGAGTTGAGTCTGCAAAACATGTAACGGTTTAATGTGATACCTTCCAGTAATTACCCAATAATTCTTGTGCCTGCATTTTTCATGGCTGCTTTCTTAAGCTGTGCTCTTTGTTATGGATATTTATATGGACATGTGCAGGAAAGCACAAACAAACAAACAGAATTGTTGTCTGAGCACTTTGTTTTATGTTCAACACTTTTGATGCTGTAGTGTCTTCCTCTGATGTGTTGAACATTAAAGTGCTTGGCCAATTTTTAAGTTTCTTTGTGGTTTCTTGCATATATATATATATATCACACATTTAATGATTTTTGCCCACATATATTATTTTTTGACAACAAGAGAGAGATTGGATGGGTGAATAGTTGGTCAGATAAATAAACATTAATATATATATTAAATATACTGCAAGTATATTTATATATATATATATACAATTCATTATATATGTATGTATGAATTTTTTTTTGCGTGCAAGTTTTTAAGTTTTATGTTCTAAAAATGCTAATTATATTGCCAGTAGAATCAAAATCAATCAAAATATTAAATATACAGAAACAAATCTAAGAATAATGAGCAATATATTGATGCATTGCTTTATTTGTGTTGATGAGGCCCTCATCAATCTTATCCGTAACAATTTCTTAGTCACATGTCCCTTCTTTTTTTTTTTCCCCAAAAATTCTGCGATTCTGAAAAATGTTTATCTTTTAACCTTGCGGGATGTTTTATTCTTTATATTCATCCGCCAGAGGGCTGAGAGCATGGTTAGGCTCTTGATTAATTCATTGTTTTAAAAAGAAAAAAGGTAAAGTACCCCTTGTCTCGCAAGTTTATAATTGCATGTCTCGCAAATAATGCCAGGCTAATGTACTGTAGTAGATATACCAGTAGCAATATCCTATGGTTCTTTGAGAATGATTATTTTGTTTATAAAATTGTACTGCTTGTGTAATGTCTGGAGATTATCTGCATATTGATTTAAGACTTTCATGACCTACCGGTACTGTATTGGGCAAAGGAGGTCACTACATTTAGTGAGTACCTCCCTTTCACACAAGATATTGAATATGGAGAAGACTTTCTACCACTTGAGCACCTGAGAACTTCAGATTAGCTGTAACTTCCTCAATTCCTCCATTGTAAACAAATATTTAAAGTACCATATTTTCTAACCAAGAAGAATTGGGGCCTTGCAATGCAGCCAGGAACCAGATCTGTTCCCAAACTCAAAAAGATTCTGTTCATTTTAAAAGCATGGGGCCCAATCATATACAGTACCATGAACAAGAGATTTTGCAATTAATCAGCAGCAGCAGGAAGGCAAAACTGAGAGAACCAGTAGAGTACATGACCATGCACCAAGAAGGTGCATGGCAAAATGCACTCGAAGCTGGAAAGAAGATGTATTACACATTACCAGTGATGGTTACCAAAGGGAAGTTGGGCCAAGGAATGGAATTCAACCCCATTCTAGTGCTGGAAGATGGGACACACACACACACACAGGGAGTACTTGTTTTTTCCTGAGGAGGAAGGAACCCTTCTTCCCAACCTCTGTGAAAAGAGGAGGAACTGAACGGCAATTGCCAGCATGAGAGACTACCATTTATTAGGGCCCTCAACAAGAGGAGGGAGAGGCAAGTCATATACTTAGTGAGCTGGAAAAAAGCCAATACAACATTTGCAGACAGGAATAAAGCAGAGCTAAAATGTTCCAGGCCTGAAGCATCATAGGTCAAAAGGATCACAAGGGATTCTGTGATATTACCATACAGTATTAACTGAGTACAGAGACTTTTACTGGTGATATGGAAGAGCTCTGACCCAAGGTTTGGCCACAGCTGCATAAGTTTAATTGCAGGGCAGATATTTGACCAAGGCTGCCACCATACTATACACACCAGAGGGAGAAAGATCTTAAAGCCAAAGCAAGAATGTTGGAGGCAGAAGAAAAAAAGGGTTAAAAAACATTATCTGTCAAGCTTCATTGAGCAGAGTGAGACCAGTGCCAAGAAATATTTTCATTGCCTATAAAATTAGGAAATAAAAGCAAATGCATTAGTCAATGCTGTCATAAGGACTTGTAAGTCCAACCCACAGTAAAGTGCACAGGAAAAGACCTGGTAACAAAAACAGCTCTTGGCTAACCCTACCCTAACCTTGTCCACACAAAGGACAGAAATGGACAAGGGAATCTCATGACAGGAATAAATTCTATATTATCAACAGACAACCTGCAGCCAAGTCAATCAGGATAGAATTTGAAGTGGTTGGGCAAGAAGGTTCTGTTTTGCCATCATCAGTTTAGCTGTCTCTTTAAGGCCAAGTTAGACTTGGAAAGGCATCCGAGTTTATGTAATGCCCTTCTCTCCATATTCTGGGCTGGATTGAGTACTCTTTAGTGTCTCCCTGGCACCAGGGACACATAGTGGGGGGGGGGGAACACCTTGAGAAATTCCCTACTGGAACTGTGCAAAATATTAACTAGCCTCTGACTCAGTAGGATCGTAACCAGAGGTCAGTAAGATTATGCCTTGGTACACTAGTGAGATAGCTCAGAAAGTAGAATTAAACTTTAGGTAATTTGCATAATCTGCATTGAATACTAATATTTAAGGCAATATAAATTTCTTATGCAGAGCGCTCATTTTCTACAGATTGTCAATGTACCTATATTACTTTATCCAGACAGAAGCTAATTTTACATACATTTAAAAATTTCTGGTGAGAGTACATTGATAATGGGTACATACATTATAAAAGTGTCGTGCTAGAAGTATTAGTAAAATTTCATGTGAAGACCTTGCTGAAAAATGTTATCATACTTTTTATAGTTTGAGTAGACAACAGAAAAGCATATATGATGACAAAATATTTGAGCATTAAATATTTTAAATATAAAATAGCTTGCTTTTGTATATTATTTTACCATTATCTCTAAATGCAGAATAAAATTAGACAAAGGGTTTATGGTACTTTATCATTTTCAGAAGGGGGCTGGGTGGATGGATTCACTCCAGAATCAGAAGATATGTCCTCTCCGGAAATGGAGGACCTCGAGGACATATCTATGGATACCAGCATTGGTCCTGAGGGTAGACCGCCCGGCAGAATTAAGTCAACCACTACGAAACATAAGTGAGTTTATTTGCCTCTTAAAGTCTTTTGGGGCATAAATCCTACATATCTCATCTTTAAATTTAAAGAATGTTATGTTGTATAAAAATTAATCATAAATGTAGCAAGTTCGATGACAAAATGAGTTAGCTACTCAAAGCCCAGTCGATAGAGCTTCAGCCTCCAACGCATGGGTCCATGGTTCGAGACCCTTACAGCCCAGGAGAATGGAATTAGAAACAATGTTGATTACAGTAAAAACCTAATTAATATTATTATTATTAGTAGTAGTAGTAGTAGTAATCTTTGTTATTGTTTGTAAAAAAAATTTAGAATCGGTCGTAAGACTTGATGAAAATGATAATATAGGAAAAATTTCATTTCATTTTAAAGGATGATTAAAATGGTTGGTGAGCATGTGATGGGGGTGAGATTATGAAAAAACAAACGTATCTGGTAAAATAGAATCTCAATAGAAAAAGGGGAACAAAATTTTAATCATGTTAAGGATTTTTTTTCTAAAGTGTTTAACTTTTTAGTGAGATGCAGAATAGGGTAAATTCTTTTGTAAATATTCATTAATGAAATGGGATTAATTTGTGGGGTGTTGATGTTTCCTCAGTAGTCAAGCTTTATACACATATGAGTTCTATTTTTGAATTGAAACTAAAGTGAAAGATCAAAAGCAAATAACTACAAGGAATTCTAAATAATGCATACTAAATGTTTTATCCAATATACTTACTTCAGACTTTTGATATATAAAATAATTTAACCAGCCGAATAACTCGCTATAATTCAATATTAAATATTATCAAATACCTACAGAGAAGAGCGAACAGGAAACACACTTTACCAAGAACTACAGTTCCAGGAACCTGATGCCTTGGCTGAAATGGATGAAGGAGCAGATATCACAGGTAGTACTCTGATGCAGTTTATAAAAACAATTAAGCGAGCCCCTTAATGTTGCATAGTGTTATTTCATAATTAATGACATTCAACAGAATGGCTTTTTTTTGTTTAGTTGTCCTTCTATAAGTCACAGTAATACATTAAATCTAATGCACAATGCCAAAGCAGTACTGGTGTAGTGAAGAGCAAATGCTGATAATGTGGCTTTAACAAATAACAATGAACCTGTGCATTTGAAACTGGAAAAGTAATGATGTTTTGGTCCATCCTAGACTATGATCAAGTTGAAACACAACAGTGGCCATGGACGGGTCAACATATCGTCACTTTTCGTGACTTAAATATGTGGGCTTAGTATTTACTAATACCTGACATTATCATTATTGTTCTTGGAGAGCATCAAGTAGCTTAGACTATTCATGGAGAAGAACAATTGTGTTCAAAATACAAGTTATTTTTTCCTTTCTATCAGGCTATATATATTATATATTCTGTATTATAATTAAGGTCACCCCGTCTTTGATTGTTGTTGATTGGAACAAATTAAAGAATTTAGTTAGTCATTTGTATCAAATTAGTAATTTGTGGGTTATGGTAGTACTGTAGATTGAATCTATTATTTTGGTCTATATTTCAAAATTATATTGCTTATATAGTGTCAGTGTGTTAAGAAAGATCTTTATAGATCATGAGAACATTCACTCACACACGCACACACCTGCTCCATCCGTTGCTTTCCTTATATCTTCGTCAGCCTCAAGGTTGGCTGCTTGAAGTTGTCTCGTGTTTGTGTGTTCAAGATGTCCTTGTGAGGATTGGATCTCAAAAGCTCATAGTTCTGGATAATTTGTGATGTTTACATTTTATAAATCTATACAGAGTAAAGTTGTTATGTTGGAGGTCACCACTCCCTTATGCCCACTTCCTTAAGGTGAGAAGACACCAGCTGGGTACTGATGAAAGGTTTCCATATGTAAATGATTTACCATTTTCTGTAACCATGACTACCGTTTACTACTACTATTACCACTGCCATTTACTACCACCATCACCACCACTACCATTTGCTACCATCGTCACCACCACTACCATTTACTACCACCATCACCACCACTACCATTTACTACCACCATTTACTACCACCATCACCACCATTTACTACCACCATCACCACCACTACCATTTACTACCACTGTCACCATCACCACCATTTACTACCACCATCACCACCACTACCATTTACTACCACCATCACCACCACTACCATTTACTACCATCACCACCACCACTACCATATACTACCACCATCACCTACTATTTACTACCACCACCAATGACTACCACTGAAAAAACTACAAGCTAATATTAATAACGTCTTTTAGCAACAGAAAGTAACATGATGTTTGTCAGTGAAAAGTTCCAGGTACTTAGGTATGGTACAAATCAAGAATGTAAATGAAATACAGGGTTCAAGACACAATCAAACCTTCTCAAAGAAAGAAAACAACATGTAAAAGATCTGGGAATTCTGATGATGTCTGATGGCCTGACATCTAGAGAACTTAAACAAGTAAATATAGCTTTTCAGCCAGGAAAATTAAAGGATGGCTTATGAGAAAGTTAAAATCCAGGGATTCCACTACAATGTGAATACTATTTAAATCACTGGTGCTGTCCCACCTTGAGTAGTGCTTGGTACTCGCTTCCCCTTTCAGAGCAGGAGAGATTTCTGAAATGGAGGGAATTCAAATAACATATGCAGCACTCATAAACATGATAAGGCACCTAAATTATTGGGACTTCCTGAAAGCTCTCGGAATGTACTTTCTGGAAAGGAAATGAGAGTGGTGTCAAATATGTACATGGAAGAATTTGCACAGTAAAATAACATACTGGAGCAAACAATACAAATAGAAATGCAGAATAGAACCAATGTGCAGTAGAGGTGCCATATACACAGTTATAGAGCACTGTATGTACATTAGAGGACCATGTCAGTTAAATACCTTCCCAACAAGCATAATGAATATTGCTGGACTTCTTAAAGAAGCAATAAGACAAGCTCTTGAAAGAAGCACCAGACCAACCAGGTTGTAGTGGATATATGGGCCTGTGGGCTGCTGCAAGCAACGGCCTATTGGACCAAGTTATTACAAGTTGAGCCTTGCCCCAGGCCGGGCTCAGGCAGTAGAAGAGAACTCTTGGAACCATCTCCAAGTAAACTCTTCTAGGTAAACAACCACCACCACCATCATTTACTACCATCACCATCACTGCCATTAACTACTATGACTGCTACCATTAACTACCACCACCACCTACACTGTTGACCACCTGCTCCATACTATACCCACTACAGCACCTTGTCGTCATTGCACCCTCTGTACTCAGTACACAACTTTTGTTATATCCTGAGTAAGATGGCCTGGGGGGGGATACCTCACATTGGCTGTAATTAAAGCTTATCTAATTTTGCTAAGTTTGCAAGCTCCCAGTGCCTGGAAAGACTAGTTCTATATTTTTTACCTATCACTCTGTCAAAGGATTGATTGTCAATTTGTGAATTGAGTCTGTCAATTAATGTATTAATTGACAATTAATTAATAGAGTATTAGTTAATTAACATATTGGAAGATGTCATCTGATAGGTTTTGGCTCTAGGACGTGGTTTCATGGATAATGTTATGTTTTTGGCAAACTAAATATTTAAGCCGAATATCTGCCGAGGTTCACACCTTTCTTCATGGATTGAAATGTGAACAGGTATATATATATATTTACGTACAGAGTGTTGTCACTGTGATCACTTCAGGTCGTATTCAGTGTGATTATTAATAATCCACTTAATTGGCCACATTTTTCTCACCTTCCTAAGTATTAATGTAAATATTTCACAGATAATTCTTTAAAAACATCTGAATGTAAGACAGGAGGATTTTTTAATTAAATCATTTTAACTTTTAGAAAATTGTGGCTAACTGTATGTGAAAGTCAGTTAATTTATTTGTTTGAATCATTAATGTACTGTAGGTAATTACAGCAATTATGGAAACATGAAATATTCTGCATCTTCTGTGGTGGACACAAACAAAATTGGGTTACTCATGTGTGCTTCTTTGAATTACATATTTCAAGATGTGTTTTCCCCATTGTATTAGTGTACAATGTGGTAGAGCACTCCCTTCCTCCTGTGTACAGTCTGAGAGAACCATTCGTTCTTATTACTTCTCTATATTGTCTGTCCAAGTGATTGGGCACCGTTTCCTCACTTCTTTCTTGATATCCCAGCTCCTTATTCTCCTATCCCTTCTATGTGTTGTATAGTCATATTGGCTTAGTGATTTCTCCCCCATAATTATCTTCTCTTTATGGGCTGTGTCATTACTAAGCACTTGTTTGGAGAGTTTTATTAATGGTTTAGAATACACACAGGTTCATTATTCTGTTTTACCTTAACTCTTAAATGATAAGACATGGGCAGTTATATGTATTTGTGTTTCTTTACTATCAAATAACTGTGCAGTTGTTTATAATACTTTGTCATGTGATTTGTCTTAAACTTACCAAACCTCTGTCATCATTTCTTGGGGTAGGTTGCTTTATTAATCATTGTCAGAAGGTGGTTTTTGTCACAAGGAAGAAGAATGTGTCTTAATTGCCGTATAAGATTTCTACTTCATTGAGTCACGGTTGGTGGGTTTCGTGTACCCTTCTGTTAATACCAATAGCCTTGTCATCTTTCACATAACTCCTCTCACATATGTTAATTTAAAAGTGATGGATCTTAAAGTTGGAAGAGTAGCACTTGCCCTAAGGTTAGGGGGCAGCCTTGCACAGGTAACCTTGGTTTCTTGGGCACACAGGAGACAATCCTGACCATATCTCACTATACAAAGGAAACAGGTATCTGCTGCAAAATTATTAGTTCTCTAAAGTATTTACATGCTTGTGTAGCCATTGTCAAACAGATTGTTTTCATGTGATATTACATAATATGTTAAGATTTAGTAAAACATTTGATTAAAAATCATTTGAATAGTATTACTTAATATTTTCTAATTGAAAGGTTATCATTCCACAAAGCTGAGTGAACAGCATAGAACATAAATTAGAATTTAAAAATGTTTTTTAATATGAATGGTAGCTGTGTGCAAAGTTCTGTTTGTTTTGCCACTCATTTTGCAACTGGATCATATGAGAAATAGTTGCATAGGTCTTGAAAAAACAAGGACTATTTTGTGTGTTTAAAGTTGTAGTTTTCCTCACTGACGATTGAAATAATCTTTGTGCATTCAGTTTACCAATCTGGGACTAATATCAAAATTTGAATATTTTGGGGATGAGTCTGCTAGCATAATCATTTGTCATTGCGTAATATTTTATGGGTTATTCTCTCTTATGGCTCTTTTTAGAACTTGCGGTTGAGTCATGTAAATTCGTTTTTAAATATCTAAGTTACCAGTCATCACCATGCCATGGTTTGGGATGGACTGTGAAATAAATCTTGAAGGTTTGAGATGGTGGTGTGGCAGTCACAAGTGTGCATGTACTATTGCTGCTGTCAAAAATGAATTACGTAATAAAATGCAGTATATGCGTCATCCAAGATGTATACAGTGAGCATAATACAAATGTTTAAGTAGAGGAGGGAACTGTTAACTTATTTTTGGCAAGGGTGGTGTGAACCACCATTTATTGAAATGGTTGTTTCACAAATAAACCAAATGGTGGCAGACTAGGTGTTCTACTCCTATAATTGCTACCTGAAAATTAATTTGATTTCACTAATTAAAAGAAAGGTATGTTTGTGACCCGTAAAATCAATTAACTTCCATTCTTTGTTTGAAATCCTCGGACACATCAGGTGGCTGGGTGCACCCAGGAGAATATGCATCGTCTGGTTGGTATTGCGCACATCAGTTTGTTACTATAGTACTGTAGCTTGCATCCGAGGACCTGTAGTTTATCGCATGTTAGGGATTCACATGCATGAACAAGGTCATTGTTATCACATGATCCTACTGCAGTACTGTATATCACATTAAGATTTAGTATAGTATCTAGTGCCTATTTCAGCCAATCACAGTTATGTGGTAGTCTTGAACTTCATGGTTTAAAGTTTTTTAAGCTATGAATTAATTAGAGATCTGTTATACTACATATATGAAAGATATTGGTGTAACAGGTCCTACATAAATTCTGCATCGATGTACAATGCTAAATTATGTCTGGCATTCGCGGCTTAGATATAGTGCTGCCGTAGAATTTCGTCTTAAGCATTTTACTTCACACTGGATATTGTTAAGCTACAGTACATTGTTATAGGTAAAGTAAAATAGAAATTGAGCCTCAATTCTTCTAAATATCCTTAGTCACACCGCCCTTGTTTTTTTAATCGCTCTGCTATACGGTATTTGATTTGTAACAGGCTATTACAGGTCAGTTGATAGAAGGTCTAAACTTAGGTGTAGTTGGTATATAATTTTCCTTGACTTGGGAGGAAAGTGAAGAGTAAAAAGAGATGCATGCTTTTAGGTGCTTGTAGCATCCTGTTGAGCTGCAGAATACAACATGGGTGCTTGTAGCATCCTGTTGAGCTGCAGAATACAACATGGGTGCTTGTAGCATCCTGTTGAGCTGCAGAATACAACATGGTTGCTTGTAGCATCCTGTTGAGCTGCAGAATACAACATGGGTGCTTGTAGCATCCTGTTGAGCTGCAGAATACAACATGGGTGCTTGTAGCATCCTGTTGAATTGCAGGCTACAACAAGGGTACTTGTAGCATCCTGTTGAGCTGCAGAATACAACATGGGTACTTGTAGCATCCTGTTGAGCTGCAGAATACAACATGAGTGCTTGTAGCATCCTGTTGAGCTGCAGGCTACAACACAGGTGCTTGCAGCATCCTGCTGAGTGGCAGGGTGCAGCAAGGGTGCTTGCAGCATCCTGCTGAGTGGCAGGCTGCAGCAAGGGTGCTTGCAGCATCCTGCTGAGTGGCAGGCTGCAGCAAGGGTGCTTGCAGCATCCTGCTGAGTGGCAGGCTGCAGCAAGGGTGCTTGCAGCATCCTGCTGAGTGGCAGGCTGCAGCAAGGGTGCTTGCAGCATCCTGCTGAGTGGCAGGCTGCAGCAAGGGTGCTTGCAGCATCCTGCTGAGTGGCAGGCTGCAGCAAGGGTGCTTGCAGCATCCTGCTGAGTGGCAGGCTGCAGCAAGGGTGCTTGCAGCATCCTGCTGAGTGGCAGGCTGCAGCAAGGGTGCTTGCAGCATCCTGGTGAGTGGCAGGCTGCAGCAAGGGTGCTTGCAGCATCCTGCTGAGTGACAGGCTTCAATATAGAGTACATGTTTCTTATTTTCATTTTTATGTGCAGTTTACCTGACAGTTTTCTAAGCTCTTCTTTTCCAGCAAAGTTATATTTGTTTTGCATGGCTTTTTTACTCATGCTAGTTGTTACATTCTTGTTCCTCCTGTGCTATGGTTCTTGACTGCGGTCACTTACCATACACTCCGCACACGTCTGGCCGCACAACAACCTGATGTTTGACACGTGCACATGACCCTTGGGTGTACGTTTGCACATCACTGACGAATGGTGCTGTGCACACGACAGACAGTGGGAGTGAGGAAGGTGGGAACTCTCCCACGTACTCGGGTATGACAAGTGTGCCTTACTGCTTTGCCTGCAAGAAATTGGCGATGGAGAAAAAAAAAATGAGTCGAGTTTATTAATTTGGAAGACTAGGAATCATGTAAATAATATTCCTTCAGTTTACTGTAATGTTTATTATATTATTAGATTTGGCTCCTTTTTTTTCCCCTGATGCCACTTTCTAAGCTTTGATAGTACTGTAGCTAGATTCTCATTAAACATAATGGGGAATTTGTAACTTTTATGTGAACCAGAGATTATTTAAATAAAACCTAAATATTCTCTTATACCTGGTAATTATTTGATTCATATATCACTAATATTAATGTATTTACAAAAAATGTAGTTGGTTTTTACTTGAAAGGTTCTCAAAAGTTACTTTTTTCTCTGTAATTACAATATTATGAAAAGAATAGGTTATTATGGACATTAATTTATAATGGGTATAATCCCCCCCCCACCCCACATGTACATAGAATATCTCATGATTATACTGATGGCACATCAACAGTATTATGGGCCCTCGTTTTCCATATAGCTGATAGTATATTTTTGAGTCACAGCATGCAAGTCTGTTTTGAGACAAGAAGGGATTTATCTTGACTATATTTAAGGGGAAGAATGTTAGCATTGGCCAAGGCACCAATGATCAAGGATTTAGAATCAAGCATGCAGGTTGCTCCTTCTCTGCATGCATTGGGCCATAGTTATTGAATTAAGGGACTAAGGCTGGCCCATGTGTCATTCGTGCTATTATGCCTTTAATGAGTGTTGATTGATGCGTTGACAAACACTTCTACTTTATTTTTTATGTTGATAAGCCATAAATATACTGTACTTTATTGTATAAAATGAAGGTCAAATTAAAGAAAAGTTACAAAATGAGTGGAGCTCGCATCTAAAGGTTTAACTCTTAAAGTTCCCGCTTGACAGTTTCAAGATGAGATTCATTGTAGTTAAGGGAATTAGCTTTCTTAGTAGTAAGATAGGATTATTTGGCACTGACAATGAATTGGTCAGTAATTTGTGAGTTAATAACCATATATTTGTATTTATTAATAGTAATATGTGTTCATATATTATCTGAGTTTATAATTCAGAAATTATAAGTCATTGCTCAAGATATTACATTTAGATTTACTTACCATATAGTCTAAGAGCTCACAAATTAGTAATCATTAAGCTTAGATTTGAGCTTGTCACAATAAGTCTCAGGATATGTTTGATTTAACCTGGCTGTAAGCAGAGCATGAGAGCTTTGTGTTTTGTCTGTGTGAGTTGTGAGAACTAACACACGTGTGGTTTTCCTCCCTCGTTTACCCCACCTCATCACCTTCTCTGCATCACCAACAACACTGCACCTTAAATGGCCCAAATATGGACGCGGATCATTTTACGACAACAGTCACAGACAACTTCTTTGGTAAGGCAAAATTTCCCTTTGGTTTGTCAAGTTTCTCAAAATAAAATCTACAAAATTAGATAATGAAAATAGTAGCTATATTGTTTATGTGTAATTAATACCTATTTTTGTCTCGACATTTTGTGATCATCGGTCCCCTAACTGTTTTAACTTTGCCATCCAGAATGTTGTCTTAAAAACACAACCTCACTAGTGATTAATAGATGATACTTCCATTTTAGAAATACAGTCAAATAATCAAGCTAAAGTTGTATGTATTTATAAACTATCATGTGTTATTTGCAGGAATGGGTAAAGAAGTGGAAAACCTTATCATGGAGAATAATGAGCTGTTAGCTACAAAGTAAGTCAAATGTGTAGTGCTTCAGTTTGATGTACCTTGACCCCCTGATGGTTTGATGCACCTTGTCTCGTCTCACCCTTGCTTGATCCTAAATCATCACTGTTCATTACCTCAGACACGCACGTGTCGGAGATAACTGCCGTTCATCCTGTAAACGTTCCTTTCCACCGCAGCCTGAGACACAAGTAAATAGAGATCAAACTAGACATGCTTTGTGGTAAACACATAAATGGTTTCATAAAGACTGCTTTGGCTCCCTTGCATATCATGGTATATAAAGTTATAACATTGCCGCCCCCTTTTAGTGGCTGGTTGAGACACTCACTGAATGTTTTGTTTTGCAGGAATGCCCTAAACATTGTGAAAGATGACCTTATTGCCAAAGTAGATGAACTAACAAGGTAAAGTGTTTAGTGTTTTATATCCTAATGGTTTGATATTAATTACAAATAAACCTCATTTCAGGAATTTCCATTTTAAAAGTATAATTGCAGAGTTAATGAAAAGCTATTGCACGATGGTGTTTTCCAGCACTATATGAAGATGTAGGTTAAGAGTGTTAACATAGTTACTCCACTAAAGTGCATCGTATAGTCTCTCCAACTCAGAAATAAGTGTTGGCTCCGACTTGGTCAGTTGGCACAAAATGTAGTTTTGAATGAAGCAACATTTGTTGTTATATAATATCGTTCACCAGTTTGTAAGTTGTCATTTAATATCTGATGTATGAAAGAAGCATTTAACAGAGAGCAAGATGCTTTTCTGTCATGTGAACAAGGTTTGCTAGTAAAGTAACTTGACAGCCACCTGCTCCTATTATGCCAAAGTAGATATCCAACTGCTAGGTGTATCCAAACAGTAAGATCAACTTGTATAACAAAGTTTGCTAGAAAAGGCACTTGATACCAAGTGCCTCCAATTATGCCACAGTAGTCATCCTAATGCTAGGTATAGCAAAAGGCTAGTGTCACATAAAATAAGTAAAACAATTTTGTTTAACCCCTTCAGTACAACGATTGTCAATGGTGCCATTGGCTGTGAAAAAAAAAAAATTATGTGTATATATATATATATATATATATATATATATATATATATATATATATATATATATATATATATATATATATATATATATATATATATATATATATATATATATATATATATATATATATATATATATATATATATATATATATATATATATATATATATATATATATATATATATATATATATGTCGTACCTAGTAGCCAGAACTCACTTCTCAGCCTACTATTCAAGGCCCGATTTGCCTAATAAGCCAAGTTTTCATGAATTAATATATTTACTATAATTTTTTTCTTATGAAATGATAAAGCAACCCTTTTCTCTATGTATGAGGTCAATTTTTTTTTATTGGAGTTAAAATTAACGTAGATATATGACCGAACCTAACCAACCCTACCTAACCTAACCTAACCTATATTTATAGGTAAGGTTAGGTTAGGTAGCCAAAAAAAGCTAGGTTAGGTTAGGTTAGGTAGGTTAGGTAGACGAAAAAACATTAATTCATGAAAACTTGGCTTATTAGGCAAATCGGGCCTTGAATAGTAGGCTGAGAAGTGCGTTCTGGCTATTAGGTACGACATATATATATATATATATATATATATATATATATATATATATATATATATATATATATATATATATATATATATATATATATATATATATATATATATATATATATATATATATATATATATATATATATATATATATATATATATATATATATATATATATATATATATATATATATATATATATATATATATATATATATATATATATATATATATATATATATATATATATATATATATATATATATATATATATATATATATATATATATATATATATATATATATGTCGTACCTAGTAGCCAGAACTCACTTTTTGGCCTACTATGCAAGGCCCGATTTGCCTAATAAGCCAAGTTTTCATGAATTAATATATTTTCTCTAATTTTTTTCTTATGAAATGATAAAGCTACCCATTTCATTATGTATGAGGTCAATTTTTTTTTATTGGAGTTAAAATTAACGTAGATATATGACCGAACCTAACCAACCCTACCTAACCTAACCTAACCTATCTTTATAGGTTAGGTTAGGTTAGGTAGCCGAAAAAGTTAGGTTAGGTTAGGTTAGGTAGGTTAGGTAGTCGAAAAACAATTAATTCATGAAAACTTGGCTTATTAGGCAAATTGGGCCTTGCATAGTAGGCTGAGAAGTGAGTTCTGGCTACTAGGTACGACATATATATATATATATATATATATATATATATATATATATATATATATATATGTCGTACCTAATAGCCAGAACGCACTTCTCAGCCTACTATGCAAGGCCCGATTTGCCTAATATGCCAAGTTTTCCTGAATTAATATATTTTCTCTAATTTTTTTCTTATGAAATGATAAAGCTACCCATTTCATTATGTATGTGGTCAATTTTTTTTATTGGAGTTAAAATTAACGTAGATATATGACCGAACCTAACCAACCCTACCTAACCTAACCTAACCTATCTTTATAGGTTAGGTTAGGTTAGGTAGCCGAAAAAGTTAGGTTAGGTTAGGTTAGGTAGTCGAAAAACAACTATTTCATGAAAACTTGGCATATTAGGCAAATCGGGCCTTGCATAGTAGGCTGAGAAGTGCGTTCTGGCTATTAGGTACGACATATATATATATATATATATATATATATATATATATATATATATATATATATATATATATATATATAATATAAATAAATATATAAATAAATAAACAAACTGACAACTCCACACCCCAGAAGGATTCGAACCCAGACAGCCAGGAGCACCATGCACCTTGGTGTACCTGGTACCTTAATTAAGTACCTGGTAAAATGTTGGTAGTTATGAGACTATTTATCCAACATCCAACAGCTGCATTTGTGGTGGTCAACTTGGGCATAGATATTTCATCGAATCACCTCACTTGGTGGGGGCCACGTGAGCAACACAAATTCATATTTGTGTTGGTCACGTGGCCCCATTTGGTTTGCTCACATGGAGCTGCCTCATGTGGGCAGTAGGCCTTCTGCAGTGTCCTTTATTCTTATGTTTTTATATTTTTACTGATTGAGTACTGCATATAGGCCTGTTCAAGGCACAGATCAAAGGAAGTGTCTTGCAACCCGCTCCCTTGCAACTATTGTGTCTGGGAACATCACCCGCAAAATGATTCAGACATTGGCATAAAGACCAAATTATGATTTGACATAATCCCAGGCCTCTGGTAGATGATAACTTCATCGAATAGCAAGCAATTAAAAGCAATAGCAGAATTTTTTCATGAGTTTTAATTAACTCCAATAAATCCATATAGATATACGGTATTACCTGTATAATCATATTTACATCATTTGTATCTCAACACGGGCAATAATAATGAAGATCATTGTATGATAACACATTACCCCGGGTATTAACACGTGTTAATAACTGCACTCTAAAGGTTAAATATTTACTCGGTCGAATGTAATGATAGACTTTTGGGTGCCCCAGTGCATTGGCTGTGGTGTTACAGAAACATCTATAGAACCGTGCTACTTGGCAGTTTCAGCTTATTTCGAGTAACACTTGAAGAGGCTGAGAATGCTATTTTGTTGTCTTTCTGCTCGAGATCTTTCTGCTTTGAGATCTTTCGCTGGACTTAAGGAGTTTGTATTTCCTTGCACAGAATAATTGCAGGGTCTCACTGAAACCAATCTTATGAATCTGCTAAGATTCATTTCTGCAGACCTGGTAGCTTATTACCTTAGGGAATGACTGCGTGACAAGCTCAGAAAGGTGCTTTTCATAGTCTTCTCTTTGTCTACAAATGATAAACCCACTTTTGTAAATGTCTTAGGTAAGTAAAATATTTCACCTTTTTATTTTTAATATAAATTGTAAGAAAATTGTAAAGAAAATATAATAATTAATTTTATTTTTGTGTAAGTTGGCCATATCCTGGTACCCCACTTCATTTTTCCTAAAATGCTCATGCATATGCTATCTCCAGTTCCCGCCTCTTCACTTTCTAGCCTTGATCTCTTTCTTACATCACTCACAAGTGCCATTATTCACCAAATCAATCACAAAACCATAAATACTGGTACCCTGTATATAGTACTTCTCTAGGAAATGCAGATAGTAAGCAAAATGATCAGCAACAGTGATACAAGGGAAAACACAACTTGAAATGATAATTTATTCTTCTGGTAGAAAGAAACAACTTCACTGTGACACCTGCAATAAAGCTAGTACTGTATGTGGGTTTTGCACAAGATACAAACTTGTCAACACCCTCATCAAAAGCCGAACCAGCAACAAGGTCACTGTGGCATTTTACAGTATTGTGTGTTACAAGCTGATAAGCCATAAATAAGCCTACACATACTGACCAAGTATGTGTAGGTAAAATATCCTGTAACTTGTATCGGAGGATTTATGAGCATTAGTATGACTGCTGTATTGATAGCACTAATAATAACTGTTATTAGTTATACTATGTTATGGTATTAGTGGCATTACCAGGAGTATATCAGGAACTTCAGGTATGGTAAACTCCTCATCAAATAAAAAAAAAAACATGAAGACTGTGTATAGAATTTACAGCCATCAAGCACTACAATTTCATTGAACAGAATATAGGAAAATTAGCATTGTTGCCAGTCTTGCCAAACAAATACTTACAGTAAATATAAATTAAAGCACACAATCCTTCACATTTCTAGCTCTATCACACCTTCATCTCCGTAATCTCGACCCTCTTTCACCATCATTTCTTCTTCTTTTCCCAGTGTTTTTTATTTTTTTTTAGAATTAGTCCTATATAATGTGGAAAGTTTTTATTAAACCTGACAGGTGTAATATTTTCTCCAAATAAGTTGTACACTCATCTTCGTGTTTCTCTGCATCATTAGCAACATTTAGTATAATCTATGTTATCTACATTTATTGCTAGTAAGTATTCTTATACATTTTTATCTTAACCTCTTATAGTGAGCAGGAGATCTTACGAGAAGAGATCAAGTCTCTGAACGCTGTGAAATCCAGATTAAAATTACGGATTACCGAGTTGGAGGATGAGGTGAAGAAGATCAAGGAGGAAGCTGAGAAGAATGCCAAAGCTAACAAGTCTGATGATGAGGTGACTATTAAAGCTAGTGTAGTAACTATATACAGTACAGTACTTGATACTATAGCTCAGGGGGGTGGCCAAACTTGCTTTCTGTAAGAGCCACAAATGATAAAGCTCAGATGTTTGAGGGCCACAACTTCTTACTGAACAATGTCAACAAAGTCTGTTGGCTATTCATTAATAATTTTAACTCATTGAACTTAGTTTTCCTCAAGTCTGATTTAGGTGGGTAATCATATGAAAATTTTTTGTAATGAATTTCATAGTGGCATTTCAAGTTACGGGCTTTGTAATGACTGAGTGGCACTTGGCAGCTTATGCACATAGGTTTACTTTCTTTAACTGTGAATGCAAACCGAGTTCCAAAGGTATCGGAACTCTTTATATAGCTGCACATTTCTTGAACTGGATTCGGGTAGAAATTTCTAGAAGGTTTGAATTCCCTTGAATTTTTCATTAGCTGCATTTTAAAGGTAAAAGAGCCACAGTTTGGCTACCCCTGTTGTAAGGCATTTTTTTTTTAACAAATCAGCTACGTGTTTCTATTGTTGCAAAAAATTTCAGAGCTGCTCTTTTTCCCTAGGAGGACGTTCCAATGGCTCAGCGTAAACGGTTCACAAGAGTTGAGATGGCACGTGTTCTTATGGAACGTAATCAATACAAGGAACGGTTCATGGAGCTGCAAGAAGCTGTACGCTGGACTGAAATGATCAGAGCCTCAAGAAATGATCCAAATGTAGATAAAAAGAACAAACAGACTATATGGAAATTGTAAGCTAAATTTTTGTTTTTATATAAAACTTTGAATGAATTCTAGGATTAAAAATATGGTTTAAGTCCTTTAAAATTGTTGTGTTAAATCCACACATGCTTGATGAAGCCCCTCACAAATAATTGCCATGATAAGAGCTTTCTTCATTTTGTTAATAATGTCAATTCATCAAGTATAAAATTATATTCGTGTATAGGAGAACTCTCATCTGGACTCTTGCCGTCTTCCAGAAACACAACTGGAATGTGAAAATGTATTTTGAATGTTGTATTTCGCACATGTAATTTTTTTTTCAGTGTGTTGTAACTGTTGTTTGTTAGTGATGCTGTGTAATGTAATGAGTGAACAAGTGCTATTTATTTCAATATCTTTAATCTTTTTTCACTATACCTGGTATTGATACCCATTTTTCTCTTGAGTTGATGTCTCCCTACCCCCATGAATGTGGGAAATGGGGCCATGGTACTGTGTGTGTATGTGTATAGTTCTACATGTCCTTACCCAGTTGTTTATGTATGTATCAATATGTATGTTCGTAAGGTGAACATCATGGTATTGATTGAGCAGCTTGTATACAGCAAATATTCACCTCATCCTTTGTTAACTTGAACTGTAGTAATGTATCTTGTTTCCAGTGATCTATATGAGACATTAATGACATTATAAGACATTTGTTTTTGTTTTTCAGCTTTAGTAACCTGTTTAGTACATCAGAAAAGCCACAGAGAAAGCCTCTTCCTTACGGTAACGTGCGCTACAGTGCCCCTGCCCATCAGGTCACACCGGCGCTGGACACGATGCGCAGGAAAAACCTGTCAGACCACAGACGCAAAGGTCTTGAGATCTTCGATACAGGATTGTAAGTTGTCCTGTGTGTCAGTTATTGTAATCTGTGAATATATTTAATACAATTTTTTTTTTCCTGTCATAGCAGTTGGTGAAACAAATTAAGGATGAATTATAGTCTCCCTAACTGATATTATCTCAAATATTTTATCACTAAGAGATCCTAATTATGCTGAAAATTGCAGAAATCTTATGTTGAAATTCATCTGAAAAATACATTCATGTGTTGATTTGTTGAAACAAGCATATGCATACATACACAAAACACTCATTCACACTGACTCACTTACGTATACTGACTCTCACTCATTGATTTAACTTATTGACTTAAACTTATTCACTCATTTTTTTTTTTGTTACACTAAGACTAAGATTCATTATGAATGTCATTGATGTTTCTAGTGAACCTGCAAGCTAAAAGATATCTTTCCTCAGCTTATCTAAGTCTGACCCTAGAAACTCATGGGAACAAATAAGTTCATCAAATAAATAAGGAATTGTCTTTATTTTGTACTAAATTACCAAGTTAGAATCATGTTAATAACAGAATGAAGCTGGAGCATCTTTGTGCCAGTGACCTTCTTGTAGTCACTTAACTGGATTTCACACGTATTGATGTGTTGAGCAAAGTTCCAAATACAAGTTAGCCTAGGAATTAACGATTACTGATAGTGATATTCTAGAGAATGAAGGGGGAGGGGAGGGTCAGGCCATAGAGGAGAGTGGTGCATACTGAAGATAAGAGCAAACTTGTGCCTCATATAAGGTTTGCAACCCCTGCTATCAAGAAGGTATGAAATGCATCTTAGGGCTTTAAGTTTCTTGGCTGTCATACTTGCTAGGTTCATCATGTAGTTCGTCATGGACATTGAAGAGTCAAACCTTTTCCCCAGTATGTCATCTGCATCACTGAGCACTAGATTTTATGATCATTGCCTGCATTTTCTCTACCACAAATGTAACTTGCCATTGTTAACCCAAGGAGAAAATTGCTGTATGTTGTTGATTAATGAGCCTCGTAACAGTTGACATTTCCTTACTTGTATGTGTAAAGGTTAGAGTGCCATCATCGTAGGCTAGAGCCTCAGGAACATAGAGTAGCAGATCATTAATCTAGACATTCCACAGCAAGAGGCCAGGCACACTGCCCTGTGAAACATTGGTACTAATGAAGTGGCTTTCAAATTCTGCTACACTAAGGACCACCCTTAGAGACAATTCTGGAAGGTAGTTCCTAATTAGTTGTAATATGGAGTCTGTGATAACTGGCATGTGAAGCTTTGCAAGTGGACCGAGATATCATATGCAGTCAAAGGCACCTGCAGTGTCCAGTGCAACAACACAGCTGATCATTTAGTCATCCAGTGACTGATGACAGTGAGGATTTTTAACAAATTATCAGAAGTAGAAACCTTTCCTGAAACCATGGAGGGAAACTCTCCCTCCCTCATACTCTCAGTTAATGTGGATAGGACTAAATCCATAGTACCACAGAATTTCAACCTTGGAATTTAATTAATGTACATTAATGGCATCGTTATTTTGTTTAACCCTGTCGACCAAGGTGTTAAATTTACATGCTGGTGAAGTAATTTGATGAATTATTTGGGATGAAAATAAGCATCCATTGAAGAAGATTATTAGCACAATATTACAAAAAGAGTGACTTTGTTGATTTGAATATAATTTTAGACTTGGATGGACCATAAGATGTTACTAGATTTAATTTTGAAAGTCAAAATTTACTTGAAGGGTAGAGGAGAATGAGGCTTCAGAGTAAGAGTGGTTTGTAGAGCAGGTGTTGTTACTGCCATAATACTTGCACAAGATGAGCATGGGAGTATGAAACAAATTACTGTATACATTAATTCTCAGGAAGATTTTTTTTTTTTTTTTTTTTTTTTTTTTTTTCTACCACAGACGTGGCCACACATTTACAATGCTAACCAGCATATATACATTTTCTTCTGTCCTCCATGGACAGGGTTAGAGAAGTGTTAAACATACAGTTCAAGGGTTTATTGAACACTCAACCACAGAATGTGATTCGGTGCTTTTAAAATGCTAAGCTAACCTACATACGTAAATACATAGATACACAGATTTACGTATGCCCTACATAAAGTATTAGATGTGTCTTTTACATAGCTCAGGAAGATTGCATGAAGGACTATTTGCCCCAAATCCATCTTGAGGTGATAAATCTTTGTGAAGTGCAGGTATATCAGTTTATGTGGCATCATGGATAATTCCTTTAATATTATCAGAATGCAGGTAATGAATTTAATACCAAAGACATAAGGCAATATGCACAATGAGATCACAATAGTGTGATAAATCTACGAAAAAAAAATTTGGAGCATGTTTTGAGATATAGGAGTCAGACTAGACAGGGCATTGAAAAGTTCATTTTTGGGTGATATGGATACATGGGGATGTGTCAGAGTTTTGGAAAGGTGGAGATTTTTGTTATCACAGTTTAGGACTTAGGACTAGAGAATATGGAGCAAGACTGCACATGAAATAGAGCGAGTTTTGATAAAACTGTTGATGCCAAGTATGTATAAATGGTTTATTATGGAAGACTGACTGGAGACCACTCATAGTAGAAGTGAAGCATGCAGTTAATTGAACCAAAAACTGAATTTTTCAGATAGAAAAGTGGCTGGATGAGATATATTAAAGTGTTGTGGAAACCTTAGAACCCATTATTGTCATTCAGAGAATAAAGTGGTAGTTTTCAGCCTAGTTACCTCAATAAATTTCCATGTAAAGTGTTGCATGTATATTAACATTTCAGTATCAGACTTGATGTGCGTTCCTCGGCATGTAAATTTAAAATATATTTCCACTTATTTTTCTTAGTGTGTTGTTCAGTGCAAATAAGCCAGCCATTTTTTTATGATTTTTAATTTGTTTGCAATTTTGTTTTTAATGACAAACATGATAACAAATTATCATGATAGGTATATTGCTTTACCACTGATTAGTTTGAGATTATTTTTGTTATTAGTTTATAAAAGTGCACACTATTTTTCTCTGTAGTTTAAATGCACTATTTTAAATGTGGGACTTTGGTAGTTACATGTCACGTCTCACTATTGCTTAACATATATTTTTATTTCATTTCTGTCCCCCTAGATTGTTTCCTTCACTTACTCATAGTTGCGGGTCAAGCATGTGGCCTTTTGTTGTAGTGTGTTGGAGTGCTTAGAGGAGGATTTATCATTAATGTTCTCTTGTCAAGTTTTTAGAATATTGTAATATTGTTCTTTTCATATATTTATCTTGCCAAGTCTCCCGTAGGGGGAGAAAGTGGGGGGGTTGTTTAGTGCTTGATACATGGAGATTAACTTCACCCACTCCCCATAAAGATGACAAAAGAATCATCTCAGAAACTCCACACATAAAAATACAAAGCTCTCCATTATCCACATCCCAGTGAAGCAAAACTACCAAAGAACTGTTGAAATCTAGCCTTTAAAATGAGCTTCTGAGATGTGGGGGAGAGCATTGGGAGCCGGTCGGCCGAGCGAACAGCACACTGGACTTGTGATCCTGTGGTCCCGGGTTTGATCCCGGGCGCCGGTGAGAAACGATGGGCAGAGTTTCTTTTACCCTATGCCCCTGTTACCTAGCAGTAAAATAGGTACCTGGGTGTTAGTCAGCTGTCACGGGCAGCTTCCTGGGGGTGGAAGCCTGGTCAAGGACCTGGCCGCGGGGACACTAAAGCCCCGAAATCATCTCAAGATAACCTCAAGATAAAGCATATGACCAATATTTCCAAAATGATAAAAAGCAACTGCAATAACATTGTAGGCTGGCACTCCAAACTGGGGCAGTAAAGGCAGAAGATTAAGTCCCAGCCCATGTCAGGTGTGTGCAAGCCCAAGTCTTGGCCACTGTCACATAAGCTTTGAGCCAAAATAAGGATCACATCTGGTCACCTCCCAGTGGCAACAAAAAAATTTACCTGAGGCCAAGAGCTATCTTTAACCTGGCAGAGGCAGAAAAGGTGGCCTTTGTGGGCCATTGAACACTCTTCCAAGCTTCCTGTATCAGTATTAAGCCAGCACATGAACACATCTCATAAGTTAGCCTGGGTGCTGCATGACCGTCTCTGTTATGCCAAATTGTGCATGGAAAGGCTTTTGAGAAAGTTTGATGATAATACATTTCCTAATTACATTCTGAGCTGAACAGTATTTTCTATTGTTTCCCTGGCAACAGTATTACGAGAAGCAACAGTTTGAAAAGTTGCCTGCTGTACGATGGCAAAATATTGACCTTTCCTTACTGTGTCAGATCCTAACCAAAGGTCAGTAAGACTTAGAGGAATAACTTTAACCAGAATACTACTTATGATTAAGAACATTATTTTGTTCAATAAAACTTTTTACAGTCTGTCCACATGGTATATGTTTAATTTTCTCTGCTGTTAGGACTAAATGATAATCCTTTTCAAAAGCACTCCTTCAGATCCCCGCACTCTGTCCCACTAACTAAGGTATTGCACTTGGTGACGTGTTCAAATGAATCATTTTGTTATTTGTTTTTCTCCTCCCCATCCTTTGTCCTTCACCTGCCCAAACCTGTTACACACTTTATACATCATCACACACAACCTACCTTGCACTGCAACTTCTGCCTTGCACATCCACCACAATGCACAGTGACAGTTCCGAAGATGTGAGTCGGGAACCATCCCCCCTCACATTCCTCTCCCCCACCATCAGTTCCTCAGAGAAGCTGCAACAACGGCGGGCCACTGAAAGAAGAGAACAATACAAACAGGTCCGTGCACATGTAAAGAAGGATGATGGTCGAATGCAGGCATATGGGTGGAGTCTGCCTGCTAAGACAGGTCAAAAAGCCATTGAGGGTCCCCAGGCCCAACCCAAGAGCTCTTCTTCCACACATGTGCCTGTTCCTGTACCTGTATACTGTCGTCCACTTATGGAGAAAGAGCCAGGAATGAAGGTATGAATCAGTGCATATTTTGGGAGAATCCATGTAAACTGCATGAGAGAGGTTATTAAATTACTTAAACTATTACTATCATAGATTCACAGTACCATACTTGTTTTCTCTTATCATTCAAAGATTACTAATGATATTACAATTATGGTCGATTAATTAAATGAGGCACTCTGTGCAATAATTAGATAAGCTTCAAGATTAAAAATAGTGTGTCGAGTATAACAAAACATCTCTTTTTTTTTATTCGGGGGAGGGGCTTAGTGACTCTCCAGAGCTTATTCACTGGTACCTCGGGACCAAATTCAAACAGTTTTAAGAGACTGCTACTGTTGAAAATAAATTATAACTAAATAAGATTGAGTCATTATTTGCATTTCAAGTAAGATGCTGGTAGTCTGTAGATATATATTACCAGACATTTTGATATTTATGTTTAAATCCAGTTATTTAAAAAAAAAATGAAAGATTCATCAAAGAATTTTGTATTTTTTTTACAGCATCATAATTTTTGTTATCAATACATCACTTAATGGTTGCAGATTTGGTGTGCTGCTGGTGTGAACTTAACTGGAGGAAGAACCAAAGATGGTGGGAATATCGTAGGCGCCAGTGTCTTCTACTCTGGCGACACGGAGACGACAATAATTAAACCAGAAGATGAAATTGACAAATTAGACATGGAACTTAAGGTTTGTTAATTTTGTATCTTGATTCTAATTTGCATTTGATTACAGACAGGTTAGGTTTAGTTAACCATGGAAGATGACAAAAAAGAAAAAAAAAGTCTATGGACACAGTTCCCAATTTGGATATTTAGTAGTTAGCAGAAAACTAGCTGGTTATCCTTGCTTTTTCCAGTTATTTTTTGTAGAAGGTAGGTAATTATCAGGAGAAAGTACCAAGCCATTATCATTATATAACCCTATATAGCAAGGGGATACAAGAATTTAAGATTGGACGAAGGAATGGTGCCCAACCACTTGGACCCTCAGGGATCTGATGATGTCCTGCATGAAGCGAGGCCATCGCTGTACTGACCAGTCCAGGTGGTGGTCTTGTAGGAGCGGAATATTGATGTATATTATAATGCTCTTTGGTGTCAAACTTTAACACCTCTGATTGTATCTATGTTTCCTATCTGCCAGATGCTTCCATACACAGTACACTGTCTCTCCAGTTACTGAAGCTTACCTCTCCATCTTATATACTGGCCTTTTGTGTGGAAAAGTATCAAAACATGTTTTGACAGTCTAGGAAGATGTAGTCTGTACAACCTTCTTTTTGTGACATATCTTGGTGATCCTGTTTTAGAACTATCATGTCTGTCAAACTGTTTTCTCCTCGAAACTGTATTGCCCCGCTGTTATGAAGTTAATTTTCTTTGGGTGGTTAACTATTCTCTTCTAGGTAACCCTGACTAGACAACTTGGTTGGTTATGGCCAGTGTAGTGGCTCATTACTAAATGGTAGTTAGCACTGATGACTGATTTTCCTTACGGTTCCGATGATTCCTTAGAGTGTGTGTGTATTGGTTGGATTATTTTGTTCTTTTGTCTAAACAGGGAGCAGTGTATCGGTGGTGGATTTAGATACTGTGCACCCACTGTCTCCCTACCCCAAGTATATGACCAAGTCATTTGTAAAGTTTCTTGTCGTGATGGGAAAATGTTGATCGGAGCCTGGTATGATCAACAACTTGGTGTGCCTGGTGTGCTAACAACGAGCCTGGTCCTGGTTGGACCAGCACTTGTTATTGTTTCTTTTCTATGATACAACAAAAAAGTTCAATACTAGGCCTATAGTGTTGACACCTTGTAAAATATCATTCTTGATTAGAACAAGTTATTTATTGATCCCAATTAAATAATGTTTTTTAGGTGGAAAATAAAACAAGAAAATTGGTTTCCTAAATATTTACTTTTAGATTTTCTTTCTGATTATTATGTTTCTTATATAAAACAAAGCTCTCTCCACATATATATATCTATATATTTCTTACAAAAACTATCTAGATAGTTTAAAAAAAGGTACTGCATTTCATTTTGGATTAGATATATTCCCACCAGATGGCAAAAGTATTGGAATGTGGAAGCATATTTAATCGGTGGTGAAATAGTGCTAAATAAAATAATATATGGAAATCTTTTTCAGAGAAGGGTAAATCAAGTTGAAAGTTTCACTAAAAGATCATTTTAGTTGTCCACTAAAGTTGAATGTTACAACCAAAGATTTCAGTACAGATGTCACAGTTGCATGAAAAGGGAGCAAATTTGGTTGTTATATGAGTTAATTATAATAGTTTGTACATAGTGATATAATAGGGAGGATAGTTTCCCAGAGCTTTAATTCCTGTTGCTTTTGACAGGAACATGAAAAAGATAGAAAAGAGGGTGAGCTCCTGGAACAAACTCTCTCATCCCTGGTCTGGATATGTACGTCGACCCACTCAATTAGTAAAGTTACTGTCATTGATGCCAACAATCCAGCAGACATCCTTGAATCATTCCATGTTTGCTCCTCACATCTCCTCTGCATAGCTAGCGTTCCAGGTAAGTGAAATCGATTGAAGGTTACATATTCATTTACACCTGGAGAGAAATGGTTTAATAACAGACAGTATGACTTTTGAACAGGAAGATGCTGTGTAACAAATCTACTTAGTTTCTATGATGGAGGCACAGAGATTTTCAGGAAAAGAGATGGTTGGGTTGACTGCATTTATCTGGACCTAGAAAAGGCTTTTGACAGAGTCTTTACAAGTGGTTATTCTAAAAACTGGAACACACTGGAGTGATGGGAAGATTTCTGACATGAGTGAAAACATTTCCTGACAGAAAAATAGGGGCTGTAATCAGAAGTAATGTATCAGACTCGACAAATTTCTACTAGTGGAGTATCACAGGGTTCTAGGTCCAGTAATATTCATTGTCTGTGGGAATGATCTACCAGAGGAAATACAGAATCACATGAATGTGTTTGCTGACGATGGTAAACTACTAGGGAAGATAAGAGACTTAAACAATTGGCATGCCTTTCAAGATGACCTGGACAAAATAAGTGTACAGAGCAACACTTGGTAGATGGAACTAAGCGTGAATAAATGCCACGCTATGGAATGTGGAATAGGAGAAAATAGGCCTCACATGACCTTCAAATTATGTGGAAAGGTTTTAAACTACACTGATAGAGAGAGAGAGATCTAGAGACTGTCACCAGAGGACCAAATAAAGACAATTGCACAAGAAGCCTGTGCCAAGCTTTCTAAATTTAGAATCACTTTTAAATATATGGGCGGTGAAACATTAAAGAAATTGTTTACTACTTTTATGACTGCAAAATTGGAATATGAAGTGCTTGTATATTGCCCAGATCTCATAAAGCAAAAACTGGAAAAGGTGCAAAGACATGCTACTAAATGGCTTCTTCAACTGAAAAACAAGAGCTACAATGAGAGACTAGAGGTGTTAGATATGCCAAAGCTAGGAGATAGAAGACAAAAAGATGACATGAGCTCTATGCGCAGAACAGCAACAGGCGTTGACACAATTAACAGAGGAATTCTTGAAACCTGTAACTTAAGAATAATAGGTCATAGATTCAAGTTATGAAAACAAGGATGCCAAAAAATATTAGAAAGTTTTCTTCCGCAAGCAGAGTGGTAGGCAGTAGGAATATGTCAAGTGAGAGGGTGGCGGATGCTGTCAGTAGGTTTAAAGCATCAAATGACAGAGTACAGTATTGGGAAGATGGAACATCATGAACGTATCTGTCGTCCTGTAACTACACTTTGGTAACTACATAGATAAACATGTGCTCTTTAACATATGTCCTTCCCTGTTTATAATATCATTCATCTCTGTTAAACAATTTTCATGTCTCAGAGTATCTTCACATCTCCTTATGTCTTAGTAAAAATAAATGTGGATTGACTTCACCAGGATTCTGTGACTTCATTATTTTATGACTTCAGCACACTGTAACTTTGGTACACTGTGACTTCACCAGCACGCTGAATTCATCATTTTTGAAGTGTTGGTCCTGGCAATGGTGAGCAGACACATTGTTGAGGAAAATTTTGCATGATGCCCAAACCACACATCAGAAAGTGAAGAAACGACACTTCTGTGTTCGATAATGGTCCAGGGAGCCGGTCGGCCGAGCGGACAGCACACTGAACTTGTGATCCTGTGGTCCCAGGTTCGATCCCGGGTGCCGGCGAGAAACAATGGGCAGAGTTTCTTTCATCCTATGCCCCTGTTACCTAGCAGTAAAATAGGTACCTGGGTGTTAGTCAGCTGTCACGAGCTGCTTCCTGGGGGTGGAGGCCTGGTCGAGGACCAGGCCGCGGGGACGCTAAAGCCTCGAAATCATCTCAAGATAACCTCAAGAGAAGATAGGACGGACCAAAATGTCGTCGTTTCTTCACTTTGTGATGTGTGGTTTGGGTATCGTATCTTCAGCCACATTATGGTGACTCGTCGTATGCAAAATTTTGCATGCTTCTTCTTTCATTTATTACTTGAGAATACTTGAGGGGAAAAAAGCAGTAAAATATTCTCAAACTGGTATCATCATCATCATCATCTTGGCTAATCAATAAGCCCCACTAAGCCCAATTAAAATATATTTAGGCTTACTAAATCTTTTTACCTATTGGTATTTTTGGGGAATTCATGTCATTTTATGAATTTTTATTTCAACTAAGAGATAATATATATTATTAGACCAATTAAATCTTCCTGTTCTGGAAAATATAAATAAAATAAATAATATTGTCTATGTATTTTAAAATTTCCAGGTGCCAAAGAGTCTGATTACTCTATTGATGAAGATTTGAATAAATTAGTCGAAGAGTCACAGCTAAATAATTGTGATAACCCAGATGATGCTAGTGCCAATGATAATAAGAGTAAAGAAGAGAGTGGACCATCCATGGGCACTCTTTCATTCATAAGTTGCGCTGCCGGCAGCGAAACGGGGACACCCGATTCACCCACCGAGAAGGAGCCCGAAGGTACTGTGTCACTTTTGTTCGAGTTGTGGCCATTTGTATTGCTGTGGAGTTCAACTTTCGCTATTTTTGAAATGCATCTAACACCTCTGTAGACAATAAAGACGAGTTTAGCCTTTGTGTGTGTGTGTGTGTGTGACTCCTTACTTACAATAATATGCTGTCTATATCTTCTATGTCTGTTTTTCCCAGTTTTAGTATGTATGGTTATGTGGATCAAATATTTATCAGAGTGTAGATTGTAAGAATTTGCTTCTAGCTAACATTATTGTGATTTAATCATGGATTACATACATTTTGTTGATGAATTTGTATATTTAACTAATAGTATATTTTGCTTCTATGAGCTTTACTTTTCTTGGCAAACTGCATTGCTGAAGACAGCACAAATTGCATGTATTTATAGACCATCTGGAGTTTAAGTAACTGGTAACATTTTAGATTAATTCTCTTTACCTGTTGTTTAAGAAGTCCTCGTCTTTGGTGGTGTTGCTCAGTCTTTTTCAGTTGTCACAGAAATATCCCCGGACTTAAACATTAATTCACATCTATATTGAAATCGTACTCACATTTTGTTTCACTGCTTGCTTGGTAAATATTTTGACATAAATACACAAAAGTTAAAATATGATGCAATTTTCTCAACAAAACGTATGTACTGTAGTGAGTTCCATGGCAATCCTTAAGAATGGGCCTGAAGTAGTTAGCATGTAACTCTTAAAATAAAGCTTTTTCATAAAGGATAAAGAAGATCTTGAAGCGACAGATTCTTTGAGACTTATAAATTAAGGCTTATACGATTTGTATGGCTCTCACAACCCAGGCTTCAAAGTGTGGGGAAAGGGGTTGACCTAACATTTTCAGCATTAATATTAGCCATGTGTATTGCACATTAGGCACAGTTGACTTGTGAAACTACAGTCATTATATATGCAGTTTTGATCTATGTAGAAAATATATTGGGATCTACCAAAATCATTGACACAGTGTACAAGTATATGAAAGTTTGTGTGGTAATGTTAGTTTATTGGTACAAACTGTGTCATGTTTTCTACCTTCACTTTATTATTAAATAAAAGTGAGTCTGTAAGGGTACTTTATCATTTACTAACAAGAGTTTTCAATATAACATTTATAGACTAGAAAAGTCTCATGTCTGCAAAAAGGCAAATATAACTTTAGTGTTCAAAAAAGGTGGTAACATGGGTAATGAAGGAACGGGAATGGTGAGCAGCAGGATAGGGAAATTTAACACAGAACTTAAATATGAAGTGAATTATATAGAAAAAATGCACTAGGTATAAAGGGCAAGGATAATGATTTGTCAGGATTATTTGAAGTTGAAGAAGACACCCAAGACACCTGTCCACCTAGCCTGACAGCTGGGTGGACAGCGCTTAGGATTCGTAGTCCTGAGGTTCCGGGTTCAATCTCCGGTGGAGGCGGAGACAAATGGGTAAAATGTTTCTTTCACCCTGATGCCCCTGTTACCTAACAGTAAATAGGTACCTGGGAGTTAGACAGCTGCTACGAGCTGCTTCCTAGGGGGTGTGTAACTGAAAGGAGGCCTGGTCGAGGATTGGGCCGCGGGGATGCTAAGCCCCGAAATCATCTCAAAATAACCTCAAGAAGGCATAAATAGCTAAATCTCACTTCCAATGGACTAATTGGTAATGATTGAGTCCCTCTTTCTCCTGTACCCCATTCATGTTCTCCCTTTCATGCCTGTCTGCTTTCTCTTACCCACCTTATTGTCACCCAAACTCACTTATTTTGTGGGTTTCTTCTCACAGTGAATTAAATCGAGTTTCTGCAGCCCCTTTCAAAGCTGTCAAAATTTGTCGGACCATTGTCTTTTTCTAAATTTGTCCGCTTCCATCCACACCATTTTACACTAGACCATTATTATTATTATAATTGTTTTCCTCTGGTGATGTCACTGACTTCATTTTACTGTACAAGACCACATTATCCATCATTTAACAAATTTTCCTTTCTATTTTTCCTGTAAGATCATGAACAAAAACCAATAAGGTATGGTGTTTCACAAAGTGTAGTGTACCTTGCACACTTTGTACACTACATAGGAACTTGTACTCATGTACACTCCAGAGTTATCATATGGACTTGAATCAAGAGATGCAAATGACAGTGATCATTCCTCAATTGTCACAGGAAATGTCGCTTCAATAAATCCACTTGGTCATGGAATTAAACTAGAATTTTACAGCAGTTCAATACAGTACATGCATATAACTTGTTCATATTAATTTAAAAAAAAATTCATAAAAAAAGAAAATTTGGACCAAATTTGTTGAGCTACAGATGTTGGTCACTATATGAAATAATAAGTGTGCAGTTCGTGCCGTTATATTTGTAAAGGTGTATAGTAAGACTTTTTCTTATATTTTTATTGAAATTGGGCCCATTCTCATTTTATTAAAGTCAAATAATTCATCCATTGAATTGAAGAAAAGTTTATTTATTCCAGTTTTTTCTTTTAATTTCTAATACTTCACCTGAGCCAAGAATTTTTAATAACCAAATTATTTATTTTATGTTTTTTTTTGTGGGGCTTAACTGTCTGTAATGTTTGATATATAGTACAGTAGTTATTTTTAATTAAGTACAGTAGTTTAGTCCAGTCCTGTTTGTTGTGCCCAACTTGGGCCTTTTTGTTATGTTCTCTCAACTTTCATTTATTTCTGTTAACTGATGATTATCTTAAAAAGTAGTACTGCATAGTGCAGTCTTGGAATCCTGTGACCCATTGTTACGCTCTTCTGTGTGGTTATCGTTGCAGAAATTAAACCTGTTCTACGCAAAGAAACAATCACCTGTACAGATCCAGGTGGGTAATGTTTGCCTGTGCTCACGTGTGTGTTCAGCCGTGTTGTGTTGTGTTGTGTTGTGCATGATTGGCATGTGAACTAATGGTATGCGCATGTTTTTTTGTTTGTTTTGTCATTTTTTTTCCTGCTTTTACACATGGTTGTTGGTTACATGTTTATTATTATTGTGTGTGTTTATATAATGTTTTGTTGCAATTTTTAGATCATGAATTATATGGTAGTTCAATTTGTTATTTTACTGAAGTTACATAACACAGTGAATTGTTGTCTTTATTTTGCATGCACTAAAGGATTTTGGTGGTTAAATGGTATTTCACACATACAGGACAGTTTCTGCGTGGACAGTAAACTTTGTTTAGATCTGTAAAAAAAAAAAAAAGCATTGTTCATGAGATAATGTAGTACTGTACTGTATGTACTTGCTTTACTGCCAATGCAAATGGTATGATTATTAGAGCTCTTATGTAAAGCAGTGGTGGAATGCCTGAACATACAGTATGTCATTCAGAACCCTCATGCAGACTTTTGATTAAGTGGTGTTATAAATAATGACAAGATTTGCTTAAGGGGCCCTGAGTCAACTTGACTCGAGAAATATTTTTTAAGATTAACATCTCTTTGAAATTTATGCTTGAAACATTAGCATGGTTAATAAACAACTCGGTTTAGCTCCCCCCCAAAAAATTCAAATACTGTAATATAAATAATAAACTGATGATATTTTAAATACCTTTTTAAATCTAGTTCAGGTTTACACATATTACTGCAGGGTCATTTGATGGTATCATTTGCAAAAGCTGGCACAGTTCTATAGGTGTGTTTGGGGAATTTCTTATTCATGTTTCTTAATCCTGGTAATACAGTAATAAAATAATGAATTTGGTGTTTTAATTTTTGTTTCCACCAAAAAATCTTGTCTTCGTAAAAAATACTTTCCAACGACATAAATTTAGTTAATGTGGTCATGTTTTACATTTTCAAAGCAAAGAACTTACAAAATATACCTTATACTAATTTGCTACTCCTCATTATTGCAAGTTTTCTTGTGACTAAAAAATATAAAAAGAAAATACTTAAATAGTTGACTATTTGCTTTCAAATAAAGCCTAAAATGTAGCTAAAAATCTAAGCTTTAAATGACAATATTTAAAAAAATTGTCATATATATATATATATAGACAAAATTACATGAAATGGATTTGTGCCCCCTTAAATGTACTTAGATAATAGAACAACTTAAAAAAAAATTCTCTCTCTCAAAATCTCTTGTTTTTCATTTAGTGTACTAGATAAATGGCTTGGAATATTTGTTGTGCTTTAGACGTACTATCACACTTTCACTTATTTCCTAAAACGTGTTTGTGTTCATCATTGTATTTCTGGATTTTGACCACAGGAAGCATAGTCGGGTAATGCTTGTTGAGAAAAATGTAACTAGTTAATGTTTTGCATTTAGACAACCTTTGCCATGAATAATATATATATATATATATATATATATATATATATATATATATATATATATATATATATAATTTATTTATTTATTTATTTTTACTTAATTTTGTTTTGGGGGGGGGGAGGGGGGGACAAAGCAGTGATTCTTCATTGTAAGCTAATTAGAGCAGCTGTGTTCATCATATGTTGTCTAATACAACGATAATGATCCTTAACTGTTGCTAAAATAGTACAGGTAGTATGCATTGTATTGTTGCCTAATTAGTAACATAATATACTTTGTATACTGCATATCTAGAGCAACAATATTGCGTGAATTTGTCTCGAGTTCTTTTCAGTGCTCTGACTAGTCTATAAGAAGACACAATTTTGGCAGCTTGTATTCATGATAATTATTTATCTGGAAGCATTATTTTATTGTTTATTAAATGGTGTAACTGAAAGTACTGTACAATGTACTGGTTGTCTTATAAATAGGTAATTTATATTTTGACTATCTTTTAATTTAACTTTAAAACTCAGTTTATACATTAGAAAAAGATTAGATTTATTAAATTGACAAAAGGTTTGTAAAAATTTTTTTTTTTAATAAAGTTTTCAATTAATTTTGTATGTTCAAGCAGAAAGAATAAGCCCTTGTATTATGATTTTTGACAACGGTCATATGCTTTAATCATATTTATTTTGCTGTAAATGTCATCGTGAACCATTTTGTAGCTTTGGCGCTTTGATATTTTCAGACCAAGATGCGGACAGGGCAGAAGTAATTGAAAATTCAGAAGAGGAAGAAGTACCACCGCGAAGATTACTTAAGGAGCCGGAGGGTATTGTTAAAGATGGAGTGGAAGAAGTACAACCTTCTGAAGGTATTGGAGTCTTCTCTCTCAACGTCCTCTTTGCAGTACTTCTGTACCTCCATAACTAATAATATGTTGTGTATTTTCCTAGTCACTGTATTCTCTAATTTATGCAGCTTCTAATTTCAGCCTTTTACAATTTATGTATATGCTATGCTTCAAATACCTAGATAATTAGATGAAAATTGATACCAAGTTTAATTTCAAGGCAAATGTATTTTTTTCTCTGTAAACAGTGCACTCTGGAACAAACGTCATACACCAGGGCATGTTTTCCGACAAAATTTTGGTCGTACACTGAAAATTTTGTATTCAGGTGCAGTCGTACTCTGATGTTCCACTGTACATGCTTTTTGGCCATCTCGGATTTCCTTATTTATTTCCAAAAGAGAATCCTGTCATCACACTGTGCATATACAGTCACAATTGCCAACTTTATGCTTTCAACAAACTAAATTGCACACACAAGCATCTTGAACTTCAATAAGAGAAGTTATTCAGTGACCCATTCCTCTATTCATTAACAGGTATACCCTTTCCTGCTCTCATTTTATCCTACTCCTGTCATCATAACATTTTCTCCTTTCCACTCACCATCATTTCCTTTTATTATTTGTCTGACATAAACATAGCAAATTGAACTTTCCTTCCATGAAAAGTTTTACCACAAAGCTTTTTGTTCCTGATTTATTTGTTCCATAAAATTCCATAAGACACAATATATTGCAGCAGTTCAATCATGTAACATTTCAGATGGCGAGTGGAATTAGGGTATATTGATCTATACAAGTTGTCCTTTTTTGTACACTTACCCCAGTGAGTTGATCAATGTGACATGTGCTGAAACTTAATGGCATTAGGAACCAAATTTCATTTCTTTTAAATAAATTATCTTGTTTTTGTACTTAAGTGTAATACTGTAGCAGTACCATTAATAACTAATGTTTTGGCAGACTCAAGTGTAGTAGCAGAGGAGGTTGAAAAGATGTCATCTGTCCTGTCAACCATGTGGCTTGGCTCGCAGAGTGGCTCTATATATGTTCATTCAGCAGTCCGCCACTGGAAGCGTTGCCTACACTCGATCAAGCTCAAGGACTCTGTGTTGTCCATTGTGTAAGTTTGATACCCAAAAAAATCCAGTTCATGAAACTTGATTTGGCAAATTTTTAAGCTTTCAAGCTCAGCTTCTTAAGGCAACATTATTCCAACCTTTAGTTAGGATCTAGCATAATCAGAGCAGGTTGACATACTGGTACTTGTGAGACACTAAAGAATTCTCCAACTTAGACTGCAGCTAGAAAGGGCATTCACTTAATAGGCACAAGTTGACATCACAAGGATAACCAAGCATTGCTCTAGGTGACTACCGAATTGCCCACAAGGTGACTATTCCTGACCACCACCAGGTGGCAGCCCAACAAACTCCCTAAAGCCATCCTCACCAGTTTTATCTGCTTGGTCACAGCAGCAGGTGGAAATCAGAACCATTCATTGAAGTGACTAGAGTTATCCATAAGAACTAAATGTTTCATTCAATGTACTTATGCCACATTAGTGAATAACTTTTGTATGTAGATAAGCCCTCTGTGTGTACCTTGAGTTTCAAAGCTCATTCTCTTACCCATCCCCTCCACTTGAGGGTACAGGAACAAATGTATCCTGTACCTTGTATGTATCATATGCAATTATTTTGCATTGATAGTGGCATAGATGATCCTGACTGTGATAAAGACTATGTACAACATTCAGATATAAGTGAATACAATGCTAGTTATGATATCCGGGTGCCTACTCATTCGGCACCATAAATTGCTCAACTTCTGAGCTCCGTCATGTCTAAAGTATGTCACTTACAATATTTTATTTTAGTTCCCACGATCAGAGCATTTTAACAATATAAGAAGGTAAAATAATTTGTTGGAAATAATTTTTTCCGGTGCACCATGGGGGGGGGTGTCATACAGTATTGTAATGTGGAGGAGTGCAGTGGCTAAGGAGATGTGCCAAGAATAGCTGCCATAGTGTATACTGTGTCCAGGTTCCAGAGGATATGCAGCTGTTAGTTCCTTCACGCAGACCTTCCCCCCTCCCCCCTTGCCAGTTACTTTTCACATCGCTGCAGCACAAGTGAACTTTATTTTCATTATGTTGGCTCCTGCCGACACCTGCCTTCTGGAGTTTACCGAGTGTGATAGCTGTGTTCAGTAGTGTTTTTTTTTGTTAGCCTAGTGATGAGGTAGAGTGTGGTAAGGTTGTGTTGAGAGTGTCTTTGTTGTGGTGTCGGTACTGCCACCTTATGGTGGTCAGAAATAGTGACTTAGTGCGTCATATAATAGTGGTACCTATGATAACAAATAATACCTGGAAAAGCTTTAGCTCTTATGCAAGTGCACATTTTGGGTGCTCTAGATTAGATTGAGTATTCTCCAGTGTCTTCTTGCTATGACCCCAGCAGGAACATTTTTACAATTTTCCAGCTGAAAAATGTCATTGTCCTGACTTTGTGTGATTCTTAACAAAGGTCAGTAGGATCTTGCCTTTGAGAGCATATGTAATGCTGAGGAAAGTGCTGTTCATATATACTCAAAGGTAGTTTTAGTGCTTAATATTTCTAATTTGAAATGCATAAATAATTTTTGTTCGAAAGGTTAAAAATTTTAAACACATGTTACAGTTTTTTAAAAGTGCACAGTGTTCTTTGAGTTGTCATGTTGATCAGATCTAGTCAATTAGTGTTAATGAATCAGCAGAAGCAGCATGTGAAATATTTTGAGGAAGCAATTTATCACTAATAATTAATACAGGCAGTAAAGGAAAGGTTAATTTTATGGTTGAGGTAAGTAAGAAGAAGCATAATGCTATAGATCACTTGAGGATAAAAATAAAATAATGTATTTTTGAAATAGATTTTTACCCAAAATCAGATACAATTACCTGCCAATATTTTGTCTTGCAGACACATCAAGGGTCGAGTTCTAGCAGCTCTTGCAGATGGGACTGTGGCCATATTTCATCGGCAAGGGGACGGGCAGTGGGATTTAACGAATTATCATCTCTTAGACTTAGGCAAACCTCATCACTCCATCCGGTGCATGCATGTTGTGCACAACAAAGTTTGGTGTGGATACCGCAACAAAATTCATGTAGTTGATCCTAGAATCATGAATGTAGAAGTAAGTATTTCCTTGTATTTTAGGAATTAGGGCCCCAGATTTTCATGAGATCATTAATGCACTATTAGAATGTCCCATGTCGAATGTAACTCAGTACTGTATCAGAAAGTCTTTCATTAAAATCACATTCATCATTATCAAAAACCCAGTTTGTCAGTTGTGGGCTTGTCACTATCTCATAAAAACATTGATATTATTATAGACCCGCTGGACTTGGTCAATTTTGGTAGCACTGCCAGGCTCAATCTGTCCTCATAATTTGAAGTATTCACTGCCCATTTTTCCCACTTCAGATGTAACTTTTACTTGTTATACTGTACTTTAGAATGGTTCTTTTAGTGGACAATGGACCCATCCAAAATCTGGATCTCCATATAACGTATCTCTCTTAAGTGATTATCTGAATCCCGATTACGTAGGGTGTTGCTATGAAATCTGTAATATTGAGTAAAATAACTTCCAACTAATATTATTTTTGCCAATGTTTGCTCTATGCTTTCTTATAATTCAGTATAGGTCAGAGTTTGAGTCAGATGTGATACCAACAATGGTGTTCTGAAAATGACTGAGACAGTAATTTGTGTCTCTAAAATTTTTATTTAGAGCAGGTTCCCATGTATTTCATAGAGGAATATTGAGCCTTAGAGTATCTGGCATGAGAAAGTCAATGGACTTTGTTTAAAAACGATTATTTATAAGACTAGTTTTTCTTTTTAGAGTGAACAGTTTCATTTATTCAGAACTGTCTGAATGTCATAAAAATGTCATTGAAAATGTGAATTTGAAAGAAAAATTTTGGCTCTGGGGAAAGTCAATGGGCCTGTTTTGGATAAAATTATATGGCTGGTTTTCATTTTGGAAGCAGCAAGTTTTGACAAGTTTCATTTAAGAGATTTGAATTTGACTCTGGAAGTGCCAGAAATGTTTATTCTGAATATGGTTGAGACCATATCTCATTAATTATTTATTGAAACAGGGATCCAAGCTATTTTATAGAAAATTTTGAGTATAAAAGAGTTTATGGCAGGGAAAATCTATGTACTGTAATTGGTTCATTTACAACATTAAGGGGTCATGGCTCTACATTTATAAAATGAGGTTTAGGGTCTGGAATGTGGGAAATACTGGGGATTAAGGTGGAGTCTTTTTGTAGTGTGTGTGTTACCTTGGTAGATAATCATCACCATGACAGGTTGAAAATAAAATTTGCTCATTGAGCATGGAACAAATTAGGGTATCAATGGCAAGTACCTTTTATGTTGCTCGAATTAAATTTTTAATGGTTTTCCTACATGGGTGCAATATTAGAAGGAATAGTTGGCTCCTTGGGAAATCCATTAATCCATTTTGAAACAAAGTTGTGTGGTTTACTTTAATTTTGAGTTGACACATTTGTTTTTTCAATTAGCTTAAATATGGGCTAGATTGCCTTTGAAATATGGTTTTGAAAAATGAGTATTGAAAATAAGGCAGGTAATGAAAAATCTCTCTTTAGGACAGATTCTCCTGGTACTTGTCCCTCATGATTGATGGATTTTGTATTTTTGCTCCGTGTAATTTGCCCACTGAGTGCGAGTGATAACAAATTTTGCTTTGAATGTAGTTTTATTAATTTTTGTTGATGCAAAATTTGGAGAAATAGTTGATTCTGTGGTAATTTAATTAAGCATAGTTGAAACTAAATAACTGTATATTGTTTATATTCATTCCAAGTTTGACATTAATTTTTTTGTTTAAGATATACATTCTAAGGAATAATAGGAGGGTTCGCTGTTCATATCTTTTCACTTTGTTTATATCAGGTTACAGCATTCAAAAAAGTAATTTGAATTTATACTTGTAATGCTGCTTCAAATGGTAAGATGAATAGGACAGCATAAAATATTTGTAGAAAGTACTACTTTGTCCATGAAATTTAGGAAGTTGTTGCTCAATGAATATGTATTGTGTGTGAATGTAAAGGTGCTTGTTTACATCTGTGAAGGTACACAAAAGGTAAAGATGTACCGTAGCAGCAAAGGTTTAAACACAGAGAGATTGAACTTCATGGAGAACAGAAATGATGCAATAACAAGAAACCCTATATAAGACTATATACTGTATGCAGTTTTGTTAATATTTAGCATACCACTCGATATTTCTGTTTGGGGTGGCAATGCTGTACTTAGTTTGCTTTAAACTGGCATCGTCTGTAACATTTTCTTTCACATTAATTGTATTCTTTACAATCCATCAGAAGTCATTTGATGCCCACCCTCGCAAAGAATCACAAGTAAGACAGATGGCCTGGATTGGTGAGGGTGTTTGGGTGAGCATTCGACTAGACTCAACATTGCGGCTTTACCATGCACACACTCACCAGCATCTTCAAGATGTAGATATAGAGCCCTATGTATCTAAGATGCTTGGTAAGTACACTAGCAGTGTGATTTGTTTTGCTTGCTATGAAGCGTGTCGTTAATCCCTTGGTTGCCAGTTTTATATGGTTTGATCTTTTTGTTATTTTTTGTACCACAACAAGTTACAAAATACTTGGAACACTCAAATTATATCATAAAACTTAAAATTGTTTTAATTTTCTATTTTAATATTTAAACATTTTCCATGATTACATTAATCTTAGATCATCTTAGTTTTGATTTTTCAGTCAAAACTTAACATAAACACTCAAATTACAAATATTTGTTCATCCTAAAAGCCAGAATCTTAGTTGCATCTTAAATTTTAAAGCCCGCTTTTTTATTTTTTATTTTTTTCTGGTCGTTTGATTTATGTTGGGTTCTTAATGAGCAGTTAAGGTACCACAGCTTAGGGAGAAGAATAGGTTGAAGATACAGGTATTATGTTCCAAAACATTACATTTTTGTACTCATTTGCCAGCATGAGATGCTAACTTTCTCACACAGTTATATATACTCTTCATCGGTGTTTAACAACTTTTTGTTTGCTTTAGTATGGTTAATAATTTTTGCCATTAAACATACAGTTAGTAATTATTCCCTTAATGCTTTGAAAAAAAATCTTGGTGTCTGGTAGACTTTTAAAAAAAGAGTTAGCTCACCCCTAAACACTAGCAAGTTAGCAACCATCGGCAGTTTTCTCGAAGAACTGTAATAATGCATCACTCCTCCACTACCCACCTCTACATAACACTCCTCATTAATTTGGCCTGATTTGCCGAACCTGCTGCACCACCACCACCACCATCTGCTGCTACCACCACCACTACTATGCTGCTGTGCTGCTGCTGACTGCTGAATCCCTTCCCCCCTCTGCTGTCGTATCATCTGCTGCTTTCTTCTGCTTGCCCCACTGATGCTGTATGATGACTGCCCAATTTTTACGCCTAAAATAGGTGTCTTCCCCGGAGGTATTAACCAACAGTATTATTAAATCGGGAGTCGTGAGCTTAAGATGATGTGTTGATATTCTTGTTTTACAATGACATTTATTTTAAAACGAGTCACTTGAGCCAGCATCTTAGTTCACAATGTCCTAATTTATGATAATATTTTGGGCAGTTGCTATAACATTTTTAATTTTAATCAATTTTGTGTAGAATTTAATTCAAGAAGATAATTGTATTTGTTGTTAACCCTCTTAGGTAATTTATTCCTTAGCCGTTTGTCTGCTAGACATGTTGATCAACATATGGAGAGTAACTTACTGCATCGCTAAACACGTTGATCTACTGTCGATTCAGCATGTTTTAAAAACTTTAGTCGATTTGTTTGTTTCTATTACTATAATTGTTTTCATTCCTGGCAATCGTGGCAAGGCAGGAAAAAACTGCCTTAAATGACGGCAACTCTGGGCTCCCATCAAGCAATATAAATTAATAAATGTACAATAAAAGTTTATTGAAGGAAAATCATTTTAATTGATTTTAGTTCATTTATCTTTCATTTCATTTTTTTACTTAAGAGTGTTATTTTTAATTCAATATTACTCTATCATTTATGAGTTATGAGTGCTAGCCTAATCAAGTGATTTATAATGATAATTTATATTTATAAACAGTAAATTATTCGCAGTTGCTGATATGAATATGAAAGGCTAATGTAGCTTATCAGCACAACATACATGGTAGGATACTTCCTCTTCCTCCCTCCCTCCTCACTTTGTGACCATCGAGCGTCTTGATCAACTTACTCCAAATAGAAATTACTGTAATCGTGGTAATCTAACATGACCTAACATAACCTTCGTTAAAGCAATCCTAACCCAACCTAACCTTCGTTAAAGCAACCCTAGCCCAACCTAACCAGGTTTATCAAACTAAAAAAAAAAAAATTAAGGTGCTCGTCGCCAGTGATGAGACTCTCCATGCGATAACTGCTCCAATCCTAGCCTTAACACGACTAAGTGTATGATGTGCACATCACTCCCTGCACCATGCTACATTCAGTACCATCAATGTTTTACATGGGCGTGCATTCCTAGGTCACTGTGAATGAATGTTTTGGTCTTTATAAAAAGAAAATACTGTATGTATGTATGTTAATTTTCTAGGAAAATTCAATTTTTTCATCAAAGGTGATCAATAAAGCCTATTGATGAAGAAAAGTAACATACAATATAGTAGGCTACCGTATCATGAAATCATCATCAAAATGAAATAAAATAAAATATAATTAAATGTAATTATATAATCAAAGGAAAATAAATGTAGACCATAAGCAAATGCAGGTGAAAAAGATGAAATTACCACCCAATCTTGAGGTTATCTTGAGGTGATTTCGGGGCTTTAGTGTCCCCGCGGCTTGGTCCTCGACCAGGCCTCCACCCCCAGGAAGCAGCCCGTGACAGCTGACTAACACCCATGTACCTATTATACTGCTAGGTAACAGGGACATAGGGTGAAAGAAACTCTGCCCATTGTTTCTTGCCGGCGCCCGGGATCGAACCCGGGACCACAGGATCACAAGTCCAGCGTGCTGTCCGCTCGGCCGACCGGCTCCCAAGTATCAATCCATCTATTAGAATCTAAACAAGGAGGCTTTCAAACCCATCCAATGCCAGAACATTACTCGAGTATGCACCATCAACAAGGATATGAAAGGTGCAGCATGTATATGATTTTGTACCATGGTGAAATACAAACAAAAAAACTTGAGAAAGTTGAGAGGTTTGCGACTAGATTAGTACCAGAGTTGAGAGGACTCGGCTATGAGCATAAGTTGTGGGAATTTGCCTTCACAACCTTAGAAAGTAGAAAATACAGAGGGATATGATCACTACATATAAGATCCTTAGGAGAACAGACAAAATAGACAAGGAAAGCCCTTTTAAATCAAAAGGAGATAGTACAAGGAGGCATTGGTGGAAGCTGGGCATGTATTTGTATCAGAGGAGTGAGAAACTTGTTCTTCCTTGTACATGTAGTTGGCTAGTCGAATGCATTGAAAGAAGAGGTTATTTAAACAAATTTCAACCACAATTTTAAGAAAAAATAAAAACATTAGTGTTGAGAGAGTTACCTAGTGTGCTAGGTATAAATGGATAGGAAGTGGGGCATAACAAGCTAGATCTGACTCCTCTGTACATAGTCAGTGATCAGTAAACATATGTGCATGATCACCCAAACATCACTGTCCACCTCACATGTGGTGTAACCACCCATACACTACCAAAGCACACTTGTCCACCTCACATGTGATGTAACCACCCATGCACCACTGAAGCACCAAATATCCACCTCATGCACCACTCAAGCATCACTCGTCCACCACGCATATGGCATAACCATTCACACTCTGCTCTTCCACCTTACATGTGATGTAAGCTGTGTTCTGGTCTTTAGATGATAGTAATCCAAGGCTAATTAAACATATCATCATCAAACCCAAAATATTTCTTCACATACGCCAAATCAAAAGCAAAAACCACTGCCAGTATTAGATCTATTCGTACGAGTGAAGGTTCATACACTGAGAATGACAAAGAAATTAGTGGCATCCTAAAAAAGCTGTATGAGGACATGTTTAGCACTCCAATAAACAGCATGAAAGTGGAAGATCTGGACAACTTCTTTATGTGTGGTATCCAAACCTCTGTAAATATACCTGATAATAACACGAGTGTGGCAGAATTTGAAAGAGAAATTTACAACATACCCATGCACTCAGCCCTGGGTCCAGACTCATGGAATTCAATATTTATAAAGAAATGCAAAGTGCCAGTAGCACAGGCACTTAGTAAAGTGTGGAGGAAGAACTTGGACACAGGGGCAATACCAGATGCACATAAATCAGCAGACAAAATTGCTCCCTCCCCTCTACACAAGGGAGGGAGCAAAGCATTGACAAAGAATTATAGACCAGTTGCACTAATGTCCCACATAATAAAAGTATTTGAGAGAGTGATCAGGAGAAAGGTCACCAGTTTCATGGAGACCAATGACCTTCACAAACCCAGGCCAACATGGATTTAGAGCAGGAAGGTCTTGCTTCTCACAGCTACTTGACCACTTTGACAAAATCACTGAGGCATTGGAGAAAACACAGAATGCAGTTGTGGTATACACAGACTTTGCAAAGGCATTCGATAAATGTGACCATGGAGTGATAGCACGCAAAATGAGGTCAGTGGGAATAACTGGCAAAGTAGGATGCTGGATACTCAGTTTTCCTTCGAAAAGAGCACAAAGAGTAACAGTCAACCATATAAAATCGACTCTAAGCGCAGTTAAAAGTTCTGTTCCTCAGGGTAGTCCTTGCACCGCTGCTTTTCCTTATTCTCATGTCAGATATAGAGAAAAATACAAGTCACAGCTTTGTATCATCATTTGCAAATGACAAAAAAATCAGCATGAAAATTACCTTTGCTGAAGACATTGAAAAACTATAAGCAGATTATTAATAAAGTTTTTGACGGGACAGAAGAAAATAACATGATGTTTAACAGTGATAAATTCCAGGTACTGAGGTACAGTAAAAATGAGGACCTTAAACATAATACAGGGTACAAAACACAATCAGATTTGCCCATAGTAGGAAAGCAGCATGTCAAGGATTTGGGAATAATGATGTCTGACGACCTAACGTTTAGGGAGCATAACCAAGCAAATATTGCATCAGCCAGAAAAATGATAAGATGGATTACGAGAACTTTCAAATCAGGGATTCCAACACAATGGTTGTACTATTCAAATCACTTGTGCTCTCCCATCTTGAGTACTGCTTAGTACTCACTCCCTCCATTGCAGTTGAGATTGCTGAAATAGAGGGAGTTCTGAGAAAATATACTGCATACATAGACGCGATAAAGCATCTAAATTATTGGGATTGTCTCAAAGCTCTCCAAATGTACTCGCTAGAAAGGAGACGAGATAGGTATCAAATAATATACTCGTGAAAAATAATGGAGGACCCAAATCTACCCAGTAAAATAACAATGTACTGGAATGAACGATATGGAAGAAAATGCAGAATAAAACTAGTAAAGAGCTGAGGTGCCATACCTTGAGGTGCTTCCGGGGCTTAGCGTCCCCGCGGCCCGGTTGTCGACCAGGCCTCCCTGGCACAGGGAAGCCTGGTCGGGGAGCCTCGGGGTCGTAGGTCGGGGTTGGGATCGTAGCCTCCCTGGCCAGGGAGGCTACGACCAGGCCATAAGCACAATCAGAGAACACTGTATAAACATCAGAGCTCCACGGTTGTTCAACATCCACCCAGTGAGTATAAGAAATATTGCAGGAACAACCGTGGACATCTTCAGAGAAAACTAGATAGTTTTCTTTAAGAAGTGCCAGACCAACCAGGCTGTGGTGGATATGTGGGCCTGCAAGCCACTCCAAGCAACAGCCTGGTGGACCAAGCTCTCACAAGTCAAGCCTGGCCTCAGGCCGGGCTTGGAGAATAGAACTACTCCCAGAACCACATCAAGCAAGTATCAAGCAGGTATCAAGTTTTGTGCCACACATTATTATTGTTAAGATTTTTCTATCATTAAGTCATGTTTTAAAACTGAAATGTATTTGGTCAGTTAAAAAAACAAAAGTATATTATTATTATTTTAATTATTATTATTTTTGTAACTGCATTATTAAAAGCTTTTGTCATGTAAGTTGCATAAATTTGTACCTCCTCTTTGGCTATTGTGAACGTTTTACTCAGTTTAATATTTTTGTGCTTCTCAACTGCTTATTGTCTTCAATACTTAAATTATACCTACTGATTTATCACATGCTTTTGAATGGGTACATTCTCTGGATTTGTATCTAATGGCACAAGGAGACATTATTTTCATATTTTAACAGGTAAGGAAAAAAAGTATTCATACAAATTTGCAAATGTAGACTGGGAATTTTGAAAATGGCTTGACATATAATTCTGTATTATATCTGTAATTCCCTGCTGGTAACCTCATCACTCCTAGATACAGTAATGTCATTATTCCTGTGAAACCCTTTGTCCAAGTGAGTAAAAAAATTTACTTCAGGTTACAATATTTAAGCACTTAAAATACTCTCCTCTTGCAGACTTTCCTTTTAGTTTCTTAATGATGTTATTTTAAGTACTCGTATGCATTTTGTATTGTTATCAATGACCAAACTACATAAAGGACGTGATGTGTCTTAATGTAATACCTCACATGTCAGTTTTGTTAATTAACCTTAAGTGTGTTTATCACGATCATGGACCAAGCTGGGTTCTTATTAAGAAATGTGGTCATTTAAAGGCTGCTGCGTGCACCATTGTTAATGACGAAGGCCGTTGGTCCAGATGGCATCTCACCGTGGATACGAAAAGAGGGAGCAGAGGCATCATTAGTAACAGGACAACTATACAAAATGTAAAGATGGCTAATGTAGTCCTGGTATGCAAGAAGGGAGAAAGACAGGAGGCGCTGAGTTACAGGCCAGTGTCTCTAACTTGCTAACCAAATCAGCTCTGTGCTGGAGGCATTAGAGAAACAATGCCAATTTCACAAAACACACACACAATTTACAGTGTGTGTGTTTTAAGTGAATTTTTTCCTTCATGGGGAAAATTTATTGGTTAGTGCCACCTATTCTGAAAGTGAAATACCACCATAAGGTAGATTATTTTGACCTCAGTGGGTGTAGACCAGTCTGATAAAAGCATTGAGCCTTGATTTTTAATAGTAGATAAAAGAACAATTGGTTCTTGTATTTACTATTAAGCAACAGCTTGTTGGACCGAGCTGTTACAAGTCAAGTCTGGCCCTGGGTTGGGCTTGGGAAGAGGAAGAAAATTATCAGGGGAAAGTGCCAATCCATTACAACTATATAGCAATTGAAAGGGGTTAGGATAAGGATTTGAGATGGGACAGTGGAAGAGGAATGGTGCCCAACCATTGGACGGTCGGGGGTTGAACGCCGACCTGCATGAAGCGAGACAGTCATTCTATTGTCCAGCCCAAGTGGTTGGGCACAATTCCATTCCCCCAATTCCATCCCAGATTCTTATCCTGACCCCTTCCAAGTGCTATATATATGGGAAGAACAACTCCTCCACAAACCCCATCAAGGTATAATCCAAGTAAACTTAAAAGATTTGTTCAAAGAAAGAGTGGCATTATAGTGATTTTGTCGCTGTGCCATCTACGACCATTTATTGCCAGCATCATCTTAGCTGCTGTTGTTCGTACATGCTTGGAAACGTACATAGTACGTATCAGTTGTAGTGCCGCAGTTAGTAGCTTCATTTTCAGTGATACTCTTATTTTCATTTCAAAATTCAGAATAATGGATGAAGAGTTAAAGTTTATTTGATCAAACTCCTGTCGTCTGTTATTTTCAAATATGAATTAAAACTCAAACTAAATCAGAACAATCTGGCCACCAGTTGGTGTTCTCAACATCGACTAAATTCAATCAAAAGTTTTAAAAACAAAAATAAAACCACAAAATATTTAGTTAGGCATATGTTATTTTTCTAATAAAAAAAAAGTTGTAGAAGCCAAGAACGTCCTTTCTGTTAGTCTTGTCATGCAACAAAGATTTAATTTATAATTATATAATTATATATAGATTTATATTTATATTTATATTATTATATTAAAACAAACTTCATAAACATTTAACAACAGTACCTGTTCCAGGGACGGGCAAGTTGGGCTTCTCTTTTGTAAGAATAACTGCCCTTCTCATCTCTTCAAATCGGCTGTGGATTGGGACAGGGAATGGTGTCATTATTTCTGTCCCTTTGTCTGAGAGTAAGTACTGCATGTTTTGCGACTCATCCCTTCATTAATCCATTCTTCTAACCCTCCTTCACATTTACTTGTCTCTATCTCAGTACTGTAGGTGATCGTACTTACACCTAGTACTGTAGGTGATCGTATTTACACCCAGTACTGTAGGTGATTGTACTTATACCCAATACTGTAGGTGATCGTACTTACACCTAGTGCTGTAGGTGATCGTACTTATACCAAGTACTGTAGGTGATCGTACTTACACCTAGTACTGTAGGTGATCGTATTTACACCCAGTGCTGTAGGTGATTGTACTTACACCTAGTGCTGTAGGTGATCGTACTTACACCTAGTGCTGTAGGTGATCGTACTTATACCAAGTACTGTAGGTGATTGTACTTACACCTAGTACTGTAGGTGATCGTATTTACACTCAGTGCTGTAGGTGATTGTACTTACACCTAGTGCTGTAGGTGATCGTACTTACACCTAGTGCTGTAGGTGATCGTACTTATACCCAGTACTGTAGGCGGTCATATGCCATCTCCAGTACTGTTGATAGCATATTTTACTTCATCTTTTTCTATTCTTGTTCCCCTCCATCATTATCTCCCCACCTCATCCTCCTTCCCCTTCCATCCACCCCTCCATCCACCCTTCCATCCCCCCTCAATTTCCCCGTCCCCCATTCATCCCCCCATCAACTCCCCCTCCATCCCCCCCTTCTCTCTGCATCCCTAATGCCTTGCCCCACCTTTTCATTACAGTTATTTTGTGTTTTTACCATCTCTCTCACTTCAGTATGATGTAATTTTATTTTGCAGGTTTAGAACCGATTCTAGTTTTATCCATGTACTGTATATATTATGAGATAATTCATGTCTCCATTCCAAGGTTACAGTTTGAGTTCTTTCAAGCTGTTCCAGTATTTTTAAGTGTTTCACTGATTCTGTGGGCATTAAAATTAAAGGCTCTCTGTATATTTCCGAACTGTGTTCTCTCACCTGCCTTGAGAGGGGATGTAGGGGCCAAGCAAGTATAACAGTTGATATTGTGCCAGTGCTCAGAAGAGTATGATCATTGGTGATCCATTCCTTGTTTTGAGTCAAGGCCTTTATTTATTATAAGATTACATCTAGTGGTGTTATCTCTTGATCGTTACTGATGGGTGAGCTATTGGGAATACATTGAGAAAGCTATTATTAGCAAGGATTTGTTTTTCAAAACTTTATCACTGGGTAAAATGTAGGTGCTGCTTTGTTCATAGCATTTGTGAAATCTTGTTTGGTTCTCTTTTTATGGTATTGTACTGTATCTAAGTTTTCTAACTCGTAAACACTACTTGACCCTAACTGCCTTGGACTTGTATACAGGATACCTATAAATTCTTACCTATATATGCTTGTGGGAGGTTCAACCTACTCTTATTCACTTAGCACTCTACTTTGTTATATCCATTTTGAAATCTTTGGTTTGAATTGCCTTCATCTACCTCTTGATTTCTTGCTACTGGGTTCACTAACTGTACACTATGGTAGTACTTCTTGCAGCCATGTGATGGTTTGTGTGTTTTCGGCTTTGACTCATGTCCTAGTGCTTCTCATCTGGATCAACCTTACCTTGTTCACTTTGTCCCTCAGTATCATGATCATTGTGACTATATCTCATCTGGATATGCCTCTTCCCAGTGTTTGTAGATTTTATTATTTAAGTCTGCCCTCATAACTCATTTCTTGCCTGTCCTGTGGCAAATAGCTGAATCTTTTCAATTGTATTTCTGTAATTACTCTTAAGTGTAGTTACAGGGTGAGAGCTATGTTCATGGTGTACCCCCTTCCCAGCACTCTTTGTTGTATAATGCTTTGGTACTTCTGACGGATTTTGGCCTCCACCACCTTCTCACTTAACTTGTTCCAACTGTCTATCACACTTTTTGCGAAAGGGGATTTTCTTATATTTCTTCGGCAGCTTTGATTAGTTTAAACCTACGACCTCTTATGTATGTGATAATACGACTCGATAATGATCCAGGATGGACTGAAACGTTGTTGTTTCTCCATCTTCTGATGTGTGGTTTGGTTATCATATCTTCAACCATGTTATTGTGACTTATCTCCTTATCTGCTTTTGGTGCATTAACATTTCATTTCCCTGCAAATTAATGAATTACAAGATTGTGCTTTGGAAGTTTATTCTATTATGGAAATGAGTTTACTAGTATATGTATGCTGTAGTAGAAACAAGTGGTACGTTTAGGAATTATTAACTCTATCATGTGCTGTAACATTAAGCTGTTTTCATCTTTGAATTATGATTACCTATTTTTTGGTATTAGTCATCTAATTGTACATTTTTTGTACAGATGCCAATCCTCGACCAGTAGCAAGCAGTGGAAGTAGTGAGAACAGCACTGGTGGTGGAAGTACCAGTAGAGGGACTAGTGGAAGTAGTGGAGGCATGAATGCTGGAAGCAGTACCAGTAGGATGCCCGGGGGTGTAATCCGAGTATATTCCGACAATAAGGACCAAGTGATGCCAGGTTCTTTTGCACCATATTGCTCTATGGCTCAAGCTCAACTTTCCTTCCATGGGCATAGGGATGCTGTGAAATTCTTTGTGGCTGTACCAGGTATGTACAATTTCAGTTTATCATTTATGTAATGTGTGGGAAACTACATTTGAAATATTTTTAGTGCCCAATGTAGTGATCTTCCATTCCATCAGTGGACTTGATGATTTCTAAGATATAGTAATTGCTCTGTTAAGCTTTTTTTTTATAATAGCCATGTTTACCTGTCAGGGTTTGTTCTTCAGCTTTCCATAATCATTCTGTACAGTATATCTCAAATTTTCTTGTAATTACCTAAGTGTGGTTACAGGTTAAGAGCTCTGCTTATGGTGTCCTGTCTTCCCAGCACTCTACTCTTTGTCATATGACCCTTTGAAACTCATGGGTACCATGTCTGGTTCATAATCATCCATTAGTTGGATCCCTTACTAGGAACTATTCTTTTTGACATCAGTAAGTAATGTTTTGTAATATAAAAAGAAAAAAATAATGATTTAATTTTATTTGAGTGCGCACCAGGAAATTAAAGTCATTTTAACTGCACATCACAAAAATGTTTGTCATGGAAAAATGTGCTGAACTGCATTTGTAATAAGAAAATTCAAGAGGGAAATTGCTACCAAAAATCAAACACACCAAACATACACGGGAAGGTAACTTTGCTCACTTATTAGTTAAAATTCACATGGTGGGAATTACTAAATGTAAAAACTTAATTAACAGTTACATTATTCTGCAACTTATCCAGACCAATAAGGTCTTCCATGTACCCTGGACTTTTCCACACCCATTCCACTCTCCAGGTCTAGCTCACCTTGAAAAATTCTTAAGAGTTATTTTAGGGCTGCTATTAACACTTTCGCGCTTTCCGCAAAGGTCACTCAGCCAACCGAATGTGCGCGCAGCGTTTTTATCGCTTAAGCGTAAAAACAAAAATGTGTATACTCTTTTTACTCTTCTGACCTTAGTTCTCATGCTACGTATTTCATTTTGGTACCAACGTGTTCGCAATAAAATTCTCTAGAAGAATATCAGTAAAAAAAGTCACGAAACGTATAGGGATACCAGCACCAAATAAATAACTACGAAGATGACTCGCCGTGAGCGCCCATCAGCAACAAAATGTTTTTACTCTTGGGATTGTAATCACCTCCACACTTATTCTACAGCGTTAATTTTGGTATCAATGGACTCGCAATGAAATTCCCAACACGGTGATATGAATATAAGCGTAGAATAATGATGCGGCCCGCCCGCAAGAGTGTGGGAAGTTGTGAAATTGTTACCCGGTATCGGTGACGGGACGACGCACGGCGCTTTGAAAGTTTATACTTATTTCACTCTCATGACATTAATTTTCTATGTACGTCATTCATTTTTGTGTCAATGTGTTCGCAATAGAATGTTCTATGTGCCCATAGGTAAAAAATATCAACAAAGCGTAAGTTAGAATAGCGCCAAATATAAAACAACGCTGGAACATATCAGTGAGCGTCAAACACACACGAAATGTTTTTACTTTTGTTATGTTTGTCAAGTTTATACTTGTTGCACACAGTTATTTTTGGTTGTATATTGATCGGAATAAAATTCCCTAAACAGACATATGCATATAATACATGATATGGGGGAAGCATTACCAGTATAAACGGCTAAAGTCACCCACCTGCAACCCGTTTGGGACAAAATACCATTTGATCGAAGTTATCCACACCTTTCATGAACTTATTGTACCATGCAGCCTAGTGGTGAGAAAGAGAGCCTCATAGCGCGCAGTTTGAAACAAACCCAAAGTAAATCGGATAGAAATTGAATTTTATACAAATATTTTAAAAGAGGACTCAACTTTATGTCCACTATGCGTTAGCGTTAGACGAAACGGGACGCGCCGGCGCGTCCAGATAGCGCGAAAGTGTTAAGCTCCTCCCTCTAATGCACTTAAGGCCCCCACCTTCAGGCACACAAGGACAATCACCAGACTAGGCCTCCCACACGGTGATGGTAGGCTCCTATTCACATGGAACCAAGTGCCCTGGACACTGTCTTGTACATGGCAATTTATCAACTGTTGTAACCTGTCGTCAACGCTGTGGAGTGTTGAGAGGCTGCTGTCCACTGAGAGAGGGAGAGAGGGCGGTTGAGTGTTACTCAAATGCCTCAAACATTGTCCTAGTGTCAAACAGAATTATGGCCCTCATCCTGTGTGACCTGAAAGCCTGGGAATGAAGAGTGAATAGGGAGACAGAAGTAAGAAAGAGAATAAGGAGAAAAGAGGAGAATAATGTAGAAAATAATAGAGATTTCCCTAGTTATTACACTACTGCAGTTAAACCACAAGAGGCAGATGCTTTTTACTTGGATTTTCAAGCTTCCTGGATGCTAATTAACACTGTCAAAAGAACAAGAATTATTTTTGTTGTGTTCACCATGGGTTTGTCGGCTATTAACAGGTGTACAGCCCAGGGGTTAACCTGCAGTGAAGACCAACAGGATTAAATTAAAAGATATGGTGTACAGGTCTTTTGTGGTGGTGTTGATTCTACCACTTAACAATGACTAGGAATCGTCACACAGTGAACCATTCTGGAGTTTACCAGGGCTCTGTTTTGTAATCTCTCTAATGCCAAAATTCACCTGGAATGGCATTTAGAGTTTTATCTAAATGTACTGTCAATATTTTGATGAATCGACTTGAGAATGGTCCAGAACGGACCGAAATGTCGTCGTCCCTTCACCTTCTAGTGTGTGGTCTGGTCAACTTACTTTAGCCACGTTATTGTGACTCATCGCCTGCATACTGTCAATATACTATGCTGGATTGAGTATATTCTCTAGTGTCTCCCAAACACCAGTATGACCCAGCAGGTACGGTTTGATAAGTTTCTCGATGTTACATTGGTAACATCGAGGACATTGATCTGTCCTGATTGTGTGAGAACTTAACCAAAGGTCAGTTTGAGCTTGTCTTACAGAGCAAAAGAGTTGGATAACTCAAAAGTTCTCTAAACTAATTTTTTTCTCATGCTTTTAAATGTTATTTTGAGCCATGGTGTCAGGAAATATTTTCAATGTCTAGTATTGTAAATAGCTGCTATAATGAAATACAGTGGAACCTCTATTAACGAGTTTTTTCCAGTAACGAGCTCGGTGCCAGAACGGATTGAACTCGTTAATAGAGGTTCCACTGTATGTAAAGAAGCAGAGATAAGCAGTCATAGTGTTCAAATTACATATCCTTAAAGTACTGTACGTTAACCAGACTGCCATTATCAGTCTGCTATTGGAGTGGAAGGTCACTATCCAGTACAATTGTAACTGATTTTAATCATAGCAAAAGTTTGTTTTGGTTTTTGCATTGGATTCTTTTTGTACAGTTATCCTTTTTTTTACAAAGATGCTTGTCTTGATTTTTATACATTGTTAATGGTTTAGAGGAATTATTAATTTGTATTAATTTTAATTGGACCTAGTGCTGAGTCATGTCATCTGTTTGGTTGTTCACATATAAATATTTGTTAAGATATTTTTAATATCATTGTTATTAATTTGGATTCATGATTCAATGTAAGCATGATGCAGTTTATTTGGGAAATGCATTGAAATATCATCAGCATGCCATTTCTAATAGATGAACATGCTGGTCGCCAAATAATGATAATACCTGTTTTATACTCGGGTATTATATATTTCTGTTGCTTGTGTGTTTCAACTGGCAGCGAAGACAGTTCATTTTGAGTACTCTAGCTGTATTTATTTTACTTACTCTTAAAGCTTAACTACTGAGTTTTTAATTCAGAAAAAAGATAACTGAAATTAAGCATAATATTTCCTCTTGCCTGTTGACCCAATACTGCTTATTGCGACAGAAACTTTCAGCAGCATTGTGTCATCATTTGACTGTGTTTAAATTTTCTACAGTACTCACTGTTCTTATAAAGGGCACAGTAATACTGATTAAAATAACCATTGCCTTTTCTTGCCCAGAGTTTACTATCCAATATATATTAGTAGATACGCTTGAACTGTCTCTCAAAGAGAACATAGATAATTATGACTAGTTGAAGACGTCTACATTATATCTTCTTTGCATTATGGTGCCATTCTTATTAGGGCACTTACTTAGCTCCCTGAGCTAAGCTAAACACTGGTTCAGCCAAGCCTATGGTAGATGAATCTTGACTCCAAGACCTCTTACCGGGAGCCACGATCAGTACTTAGCGTAGTTTATGGAGTTACTTTGGACCCCCCACCTGAAAATGGCATTTCACTGGAATTGAACACTTTATTTTCTGTGGAGAGCCCTATCAGCTCCCTGGAGCTATCAGACTGATATTAGCTATACAGTATTAGTTTGGGGCTTCAGTCACATGGAGTTCTGCCTACCGGGAACCATGAGCCAGAACCTGGTTCCCTTAGAGAGACACAGGGAGCAATGACCTATGAAAACTCCACTCTTTTGAGAGTATATTCATGTCTGCCATCAACCCGGGTTAGGCATCCAGAAAGGTAGGCGACTGAAAATAGACCACAACTGGTAGAAAATTGCAACTCAAGATGAACAGCACAAGAATTTCCCCCAAGAAAAAAAGGTAACAAGCAAATCATCATCAAACTGATGCGCCACTCATTCCCCCCCTCCCCCCACCTTTTTCATCTTAGCTTTTGTTTGCTCAGTCTCCGAACTGGTGAGTAGTTGGCCGGCTCTGTGGGGGGTGGGGGGAATTAATGGTTCATCGGTTTAATGATGATTTGCTTGTTACCTTGTTTTTCTTGGAGGGGGGGGGGGGGTTCTTGGGCTCTGTTCGGTCTTGGGTTGCAATTTTCTACCAGTTGGGGTCTGTTAGACCTACCTTTCTGGGTGCCTTACCCCAGCCGATGGCAGACATGAATATACTCCCAAAGAGTGGAGTTTTCGTAGGCCATTGCTCCCTGTACCCCTCTGAGGGAACCAGGTTCTGGCTTATGGATCCCGGCAGCCAGAACTCCAGGTGACTGAAGCCTCAGACTAATATAGCTAATATAAGTCCAATAGCTCCAGGGAGTCTCCGGGGCTCACCCAGAAGATGGCATTTCATTACATTCAACGCTGGTTTTTTGTCTTATAAACTTTAAACTTTATTATTTAATTTGTAACTGTCACGATGTTTGTGTTCTTCTGTTGAATGTAACTGCTATAGCTGTCCCTTACCCTTCGTTACTAATTATGTACTCTACTGTGCATGTTTTATGAACAAGTTTAATATTTGAATTTATTAGATGTGTCTCTTAGAATTACAATATTGTTTTTCTGCATGATGATTAATTGGTTGCTTTAATTCATCAGACTTTAAAAGTTGAATGGCATGAGATTGAAAATGAATAATACACAGTATAACCTCAAATATCCACACGTTATTGATCATAGTTGTTGAGATGCTACAGATCAACCAGATGTAGAGATTGTGTTTGGTAGGACTTACCCCAAATCAAAGCAAATTTAAAGTGAAATTTGATGTGCAGTGGAGAATTGCTAACAGTAGTTAAAGGCCGGTAAATTATGTAGACTTTTACTGAAAATTGTTTCTGAAAAGGGGAGAAAATGTAAATTACAGTACTGTATGTGGTTTGAAAACTCAATATTACGGAATCATCTTTTGATCTTACAATTTTCTGCCGGTGGTGTTTGTGTGAATCAGCCACCTGTGATGTCAGAATGCCACAGCCTGTGCTACATAGCTGCTATGGGTAATATAGATTCTGATTGATTTCATTGGTAGTGTCATACTATGTGAGGATATTATTACCCAGACAGGCAAACTGTTGGAATACATTGCACAGTATTCTTCCATTATTTTGGGTACACGGAGGCATTTACTTGCTCTCTTTACCTAAAGGAGAGCGTTTCATTTCATTATAAAGAATGAAATCATAAATAGTATATGTTGTGGTTTTTAATTTATCATCAATCGAGACCCACATTAAATTAAAAAAACACTATTTGAACCTAAACAGTCATTATAGTTTTCATTATGGGTTAGGGAGTAGAATAACTTTTGTAGATGTAATAATAATTTTATTTTATAAAATACTTTTTTCGTAAATTTGTGTTTGGTTTGTTGTAATTCGGTTTTTATAGTACTGTTAAAAAACTATATACTTTATTGTTGAATACTTGTGGCTGCACTGTCAAAAGCTAGTTAGTTCAAAATCTTTAAGGAAAGGTACTTTTTATCTTTAATAGTGTTTTGTTATTAAATATGCTTTTATAATCTCGGCTTGAGATCAGTCCTTTGTGTTATGTACTTAAAGCTTAATTTATTCAAATATTTTGTGCAGTTTCTTCTCTGCTATCACATGCTGTGCCCTCACACCCTTGCACTATAAAAAAAAAGCTGTAGACTTGAATTAACAAGTTTTCAAAATTATCTGTTAAGTGTTCTGTACTTTTCCCTCCCTCACGTCCCCTGAAGAAGGAAGCCCTGGCTGCATGAGCTTGTCCTTTGTGCATTTGATCATTAATATTAGCCACACACACACACAGGCTCAGGTGGGTATAATGCCCTTACAGCCGCACCAACTGCGTCTTCGGTACGGGCCATTACGGATACTGAACACGACGAGGACGTTGAGCCCGAACAGAAGCCAAAGAGTATGCTGGTAATATCTGGTGGAGAAGGATACATCGACTTCAGAATTGGTCAGTGTTAGCTCGTGTGCTTATTGTTTTCAAACTTTAAGAATGTGACTTAAGTCCTATTCTGTATAAACCAATTCTTGTTTATGCTACATGGGTATGTATATATAATTAAGTAATAAACCCTGCTTGTAGACTAGTAACTTAATGCTCTTTAGTCGTAAAGAAACTTTTTGAAAGTATGTTAATGTTACATTCCATTTACAGTAATGTTTAGCAATAAAGCTTTTCCTTGTACATTTGCATTTTCCTTGGCTTAAGAGAGTTAACTTGCATTCAGTAATTTGTGACTTGCCTGAGATTATGTGGTGTGCTTGTTTTGATATTTATGCCTCACAGCTGACGAGCGTGAGGAGGATCGAGACACAGCCAGTCACCTACTAGTATGGCATATACCTGTGGAGGACAATCTTTCTCACCTCCATGCCCAACCTAATTCCTCCACTACCACCTCCTCCAACACCTCCACTACCACCATTACCACCACAACCAACCCCATCTCGGCAACCATCAACGGTCATTCGTAGCAGCCTTGCCATCACCACTCGGACAGCTACAGCCTCTCAGCCAGCTACGGGTACGCGCCTCTCTCACCTCAGAGTCACAGCACCACGGTCTCTACTACTCTTCCTAGTTACCAAGGATTTGACCCCCATCTTTCTAAATTGACAGCTACATTCATTTTGTGAAAACTTATTTAGTATAATGACCATTTTTGTCTTTTATCACAGCTTAGGAGCAAGAATATCTTGTCATTGAAGCAGTGTGTGTATAAAATATTCAGATTATTTTTAATTTTTTCGTCGTGTCTTTACAGGTAACATTTGATTACTTTTTTCTTTAGTTTTTAAAACACTTAGCTTAAGTATGAGCACCATCTGCTTACCCCTTTCACCTGTTCTTTAATTTTTGTCTATTCATTTTATTTGAGTATTTTTTTATAGTTAAAATTAATAAATATCCCAATAAACTTTTGGAAAGTCACCGAAGCCAAAGGCTATTTGCACTCTGATTTCTTAAATATTTTAAACAATGATGTTCATCTAGTGTGGGTCAAATCTTGGGTTGCCCTGCATGCAGCTTATCCAAGGTCACGTAGGTCACTGCACTGCATGCTGACCCTTTAGTTCGTGGATCGGAATGGGTCAAATCCTGTTCGTTCGTTCGTTTTCTCTCTCTCTCTTTCTCTCCCTCTCCCTCTCCCTCTCTCTCTCTCTTTCTCTCTCTCTTTCTCTCTCCCTCTCTCTCTCTCTCTTTCACCCTTCCTAATTTCCCATCTTAACAAATTGTAGCACTAATGTAGAACTCCCTAACAAGCGCTTGTATCAATATACATCAGTTAACACTTTTTGTAGAAGATAGATGTTAAAAGATCCCTTTTCTAAATTCAGAAGCTTTTAATACAGATTATTTGCTGAGAAGGAGTGTAAAGAAGTAACCTTTCCACTTTGGATATTCAGTGTAGCTTTTATGATTACCATTTTCTTTTATTAGCATAGAAGGTAAACACTGTGTTACTTAAGAAAATATCGGATCCAACTTTACGCTACAGCTTTATATGTTGTCATATATGTCATGTCTCACTTTATTCTATTAAACTAAGCAATTAAACACATTTTCCGTTTGTTCATTTGAAGCTGTGTCAGTGTTCAGTTTTGTCATGAAATTGTTGAGGAGGGCAAATAGTGTTACATATTTGATACTGTAAATGATTTATATGTTCGTCATACACCCCCTCTGCCTATGAGATTCTGCTGTGACTCGGTCGTGAAGAGGCAAATACCTGTGCTTTCTGTGGTGGCGGTAATCATATAGTCCATCTGGTGAAATTAGTTATGTTCTCCTTCTTGTATAGTAGGATGGATATGTGTTTGTATGGTGATGGGCATTGACTATTTATAAATCGGGTATCAACAATTCTCAAAGCTTTGTTGTGTCAATGTGTTTTGTGTTTTCATGTATATTTATTTTTCATTCACATAAAGATATTTGTATTTTCAAAAGTTCCCATCTGCTTACAAATTTATGTCTGTCACATTATATTAATTTAATCATTTATTAAAAGTCTTGGCCAAGCTTTTTAGAGGCTGTGTGAATGAGGAGCCTTTGACCATCACTGGGTGGGAGCCGCAGCACCCGGCCTTCAACCTCTGCTTGCTTATTTGTCTTGGCTTCCTTTTATATATATTCGCCAGGTCGTGAGTTCAAGTCACTCCATTGCCTCAAAAGGATTTACATACATACATACATACATACATACATACATACATACATACATAGAAGACAGGAAGACAGAATACTTAGTAGAGACATGATCACCACCTACAAAATATAATCTCAGGGGAATTGACAGGGTGGACAAAGACAAATTATTTACCACGGGTTGAACACAAACAAGAGAACACTGGTGGAAACTGAGTATCCAAATGAGCCCAAGAGACATTAGAAAGATTTTTTCAGTGTCCAGGCCCCACGTGTGTGTGTGTGTGTGTGTGTGTGAGAGAGAAAAAATATCCCGTTGATTGGAACTACTAAGCTTCAAAGTTGCACAAATATCGAGCAAGCTTTTCATTAGATTCTTGAGCATGGTTTGAAATCTATTCTTTTTTCAGGCTAATTTTGTGCAATAGAAATGAATGCAGTGAATGCATGGCTGAAGATTCAGTGCCTTCATATACAGTATGTGTATTGTAAAACACACATTGGGGAATTGTATATAAATTACCTTCATAGCACCTCTCAATTTTGCGCTTGACCTCAGTGTTTTGCTGCTAGATTAGTAATACTATTGGTTGATTATCATAGTAAGATGAAGACAACTTTTACCCTACAATTGCATCCCAAGTTTGTAATTTTTTTGTATTATGTATATAGTGTACATTGTTTCTGTAAAATGTCCAATTACTTATTTCGGTTTAGGTATAGTAACTTCCTTGATACATTCAATTTTGTATTTTGTACCCATATTACAAACCAGTTGACCTCGGTTATTCATTGAAAACTACTATGAAAAACGGGAGACATCTCCCGTCACGCAGGGTGCAGTTGCGCCTCCACAGATCTCCAGTATCAGCTCTTGATACTGGTAATGGCTCAAAAGGGCCACCACTTACGGGCTATTCATGCCGGTGCCACCTCTTGGGTGACTTAATCTTTATCAATCAATCTACTATGAAAAATTGTAACATGGCTTGTTCTTTACCTCCAGAATATGTTTTTTAAAGATTGTAATACATTTTATTTCTTCTATATTTGCATTTGTCCTTATATCTGTGCATTTTAATTTTCAGTTCTCTTGCTAATGATTTGCTATGGTAACCTTGAATCTCTCCATACATATTTATTTCATTATGTAAGTAAGTTATTCCTGCTTCTTGTACAGTGTGAGGACTCCTAGGCCAGAATGTGGGATGCTTCCACTAAACAATTGCCCTACAGAATGCTTGACAATTATTCAGCATGCATTATTTGCATGTAAGTGCATAGGTCATATGCATTTAGGCACATAAAACTAGGGCTCATTAGATCCATAAACAGAATAAAATGTCAAGATTGGTGAGCCCTTCCAGGGATTGGAAGCCTGTACCACTGAGTTTGATACAGACACCGTGTACTCACTTATTTGTGTTTTCGGGGGTTGAGCTCTGGCTCTTTGGTCACTAGTGAGTGCTTCACTCATTGGTGACAAAAAAATGTTGATTGGTGATTTAAATGTTACACCCCTCATTACACACTCTTGGGTCACTATGTAAAACTATGACTATTGGTTTGAAAGGCCTGCAAGTAAAAATTCATCATTATTCCGCATCCCACTTACCCCGCAGAAACATCATTCCGGGGGGAACAAAAAGCATGCATTCATTTACAATATCATATTTGCACCATAAAGCTTCATGGGTATACAAGTGCATATAAACCAGTACAGTTGCATCTCGCCGCAGCCGACCATAAACAGGTCTGAGTGAAGTAGTTTGTGAGGGAAGGAATGACAGATATTTTTCTTTCATAGCAATTCACATGTAGCAGTCTACATCTAGTCTATGAAAGAGCCAAAAAACTGGTGTGCTTATTTTGTTAGTGTTGTGGCATTAGTTTCTCATGCTGCTGTGTGTGAAAGATATGAAAAGTTGTGCGTCATACTGAATGTCATCAAGTAAATTTTTCTTTTTGTTTTTCCTCCACCCTTTCCAGGCAAGTGCCTTCCCTCAACACAAAAGTGAGAAATAAGGTAATGGTGACAATGCCTCAGATGATTGAAGCACTATCTCATAAATGTTTTCAGGATATACAAACTGGCTGGGTTTGACGGCCAGGGTGCCAACACTCTTGAGTAAGCTCTCTTTTGTTCTTTTTAATTACACATGTTTCACATTTCAGGTTCCCATATAGAGTATTGTGATAACTAGTTGTGTAATTACCTAAGTAGTTACAGGATGAGAGCTATGCTTATGGTGTCCCAATGAACAAATCCTCGTCACGGCCCTTGTGGATTTGTTCATTTGATGCATCACGTTAGTGTGATCTCTGTGTGTAATGTGTTATGGTGTCCCGTTTTCCCAGTACTCTGTCACATGATGATTTGAAACCACTGAAGGTTTTAACATCAACCACCTTCTCGCTTAACTTATTCTAAACATACACAACTTGTATATTTTTTTGGCGCCTTTGTTTCTTTAGCTTACGTCTGTGACCTCTTGCTCTTGAAGTTGCAGGTTTCAGAAATTTCTCATTGTCTGCCTTGGGGATTCCTGTTACTAGTTTGTATATAGTGTGCATATTGTCTCTCTTTTTTCCTCCTGTCTTCTAGCTTTAGTATGTTTAATGTCACCAGCTTCTCATAACTCATGTTTTTTAACTCTAGTTCTGGGTGCCATTTAGAAGCATGTCTTTGCACCCACTCTAATTTGTGCTTTTTGAGATACGAGTACCACACCAATGCTGCATATGCCAATTTAGGTCTCTCATAGTGTGAACAGTTTCTTTAATATTTCTTCATTCCATGTACAGTATTTAAAAGCAGTTCTGAAATTAGCTAGTGTAGTGCAGGCTCCTCTCGCAGTGTCCTTTATGTAGTCCTCTTTTGACAGCTTACTCTCCACAGCCATTCCTAGATCTCTTTTTGTTCCAGAGGCTTCAATATTTTTTCATATAATTTGTAGGCCTGTTCTTCCCTATTCTGCATTCCATTACATTTATTTTTTTTTAATTCCATCTGCTGTGTGTTGCTCCACTCACTCATATTATCTACCTCCTTTTGGAGGGCGATACAGTCATTCCGCTGTCAAAAGCTTTTTTTTAAGTCCAGGTATATGCAATCAGCTCTACTTTCCTTTCTTGCAAAAATATATGTGGCTCTATCACGAAAAAACTAAGTTGATTTGTTGCACAAAACCTGTCTATTTGAAATCCAAACTGTCTGTTATGTCAGTTTGGATTTGTAATTTCTTTGTACAGTAATTTGTAATTTCTTTTACATTTAAATTTTCTCACTAATACAGTTACACCTCTACATTGTCTTTCTGGAGGAGCCATATGATGACGTCCTGTAGCTAGCCACACTGAGATAACTCCACAGAT